CTCACGCGTTTACTCAACGCGCAGAGGAAGCCAGGCAGCTCGCACGTCTGCGAATATACCAACAGCAAGAGTACGACGCAGGCCGCTATAACCAACATCATACACCTGTAACGTACGAAACTGGGGACAGGGTGTGGGTGTGGACGCCTGTACGAAGACGGGGACTATCCAAAAAATTGCTCAGAAGGTACTTCGGACCTTATCGAGTGCTGCGACGACTAAGTGACGTTACCTATGAAGTCGTCCCGGATAGCCCAACTGTTCAAGGCATCACCAGCACCGACCTGAGCTTGTGCACGTAGTGCGCATTAAGCCATACGTCAGCGAGTGACTCTGCGAGGCTCCGTCGCTTCTACAAAGTGACTTCATGCACGAATTACTGTCTCAGCTATAGCATCGGGGCAATGCTCTATTAAGGGGAGGCAAATTCCGCGCCCGAAACAAAGAACGAAGACGATGTGCGCACCAACAGCTCGTGAAAAGGGGGACTGAAGAAGACGACGTGTTTTTGTTTTGCTCGCCTGCTCTCGGCTCCTGCATAAAAACACGCGCCGTTGGTTCTCGGACTCAACGTCTCGGTGCACTGCTTACGTTGAACCGCGACAATATCCCACACAAAACTACAATGGAATGATTTATGACTATTCATTAACCTGGTCAATAGAATCTCAACCGTAAAGTGAAAATGATTGTGCTGAAACAGCCATGGAGGCTTAAGCACATTATGGTCACAGTAGCATGACAGGCCACAATCGCACACCAACGTTCGCCTGAGACAGATTGCAATTGTCAATTGTAAGCATGCATTACCACAATCTTGAAGGTGGCCACTCTTCTTCAATAAACCTGAACCTGTATCCAAAGCACACAGAGGAGTTTTGCCAGCTTAAGCCAATGGATTGTTAAAGCAGCAGCCTAAATACAATTTTGAGAACTCTGTTATACAGCACATACTGTGAACACGTCTTGGCACTTTAACACAATATAATAAGGAACTGAAGAGGGAAACCAAAGCCTACAATTGCGTAGCAAGTTGTCATATTGAATATACCTATGAAGATAGTTTAAAATGGCACTGGGGTATAAAAGGCTTTTCTCACATTAGTAAACTACTCTTTCGCAGTTCTATAATCGCCACCATCGCTACAAGAACACCTGCAGATTGAAGACGCAGGTAGCAAGGCCACCTTCATGTCCCGGCACTAAATGCAGCAGCATTGTGGATTTCGATGGCGTCTACTAAGCTTTACGCATTTCCCAATTAGTATCAATGAAATACACTGTCCTCTCAGAGGTAGACGGACTTGCTATATATGTCATTGCACCAATGTCTCTAAAATATGAAAAAAATGCAACTTTAAATCTGTGGCGTTTTGCTTGTAGATTTCGGCGCAACATTTCAAAACGAAACTTTTTTTTTTATTAATAAACCTGTGATGGCAAACTTACTGACAGTATAGCTCGCCAAGCACACTTTATCAAAGCCAAATGCGGTAATGCTAAGAGCCGCGGGCACCCCATGAATTGCAATAAGATCGCTTCTCCTCTTCGTGCCTCTTGGCATTCCTCATCCCCTTGGCATTTGCTGTGATGTCCACATGTCGTTTACTTCGTCACCCAGAACACCTGTTTGTCCAGTCAAAGGTATGTGCACTTGCTGCTTACCGTGGTAGTGGTTAGAAGAGGAAGAAAGCACCTAATTTCTGCAGCCCGATTGGGAGCACGGCGCAGTGCTTAACCGTACAAGGAGGAACACTCGGCTAAGGGGGGAGACGAGCATCGGAAAGAGTGAAACAAGCAAGGGAGTCTTTTGTAACATCAAACACGTGCAACTCCGCTATTATTGCACCGTTCCGGAAAATTCTCACGGCTAGAGTTCGTCGTAGACTCATGCACAACAGCAACACAACTAAATTTCAACCTCTGGGTAGTTTATAGGCCCTTTAAAATGCTAACCCATACTCTCAACATGCAATAAGTTGAGAGAGTATTGGGTGTTCAATTAAGCAAGCACCAATCAAGCCAGAACACCTTTACAAGAACTCCACCCCTTTATCAAATGTCTGCCTTCCAAGAAACGACACGGACAGGCTACATATGGTCTGGGGCGGGAGACTATTGTGGTAGAACTCGCCATGCCATGTTAATGGGTGAATATCAAGTTTCCCCTGCCAGAAACCCAAGCCTATGCTTGTAGGCACTTTTGGAACATGGTACAAGGGTTTGAGAGCAGCCCCGGGAGAGGGCAAATGTGCATTTTGTAGCAGGCTTGGAGCATCCAGAAAGACGTTTTGGAGCAGGCACGAAACGTTTTCGAGCAAGTTTAGAGCAGTCATAAAGACTGTTCAAAACAGACGTAGCACAGTTTCAAATCAGTTGTGAAGCAGCATTTGTCCAAAGTTGCTTTTCGCAAACACTAGGCTAAATTGTGCAAGTCTTATTTAGCTATGTACACATGTTCGCCTTTTACGTTGCTTGACATAGTGTCTCCCGATGGCCAGTCGTGCTAGGTATAGTGAAACGCCTGCAGCAATATGTGCGTATTCTGGAAATTTCCTGCTAAGTTTAAAGTTCTCCCGAACAGTAAAATAATTATGACATTTTGTTATTTCGGTCCTATGCAATAGAGTTAAACCACTAAGATATGATCACAGCTCTAGCTCTAACAAATTTCAGGGCAATATGGCTTTTTCTGTGGTCCCAGCCAAGGAACCTTAGTTGGCCTGCAGTGTAATATTGTACAATTGTAGCGAGCAGATTTCCACCCCACAACATTTGATAAGAACATAAGCTGCTGCACTAGTACAAAGCTGAAGCAGGCACTTACGGGTGTGGGAACTCAAGTGCGCGCATTTGTGCCGCACCACCAATTGCCCATCAGCAGCGCATCATTGCCTCCAGAGAGTGTGCACGATCAAGGATGGATGAAAAACTTTTATTGGGGTCCTGAAGGATTCCACCCCCGTTTTATAGGGGTAGGATCGCGGGCCGCTCCCACGTTGGGACGGGGAGGCCCAGCCTCACCGCCGCATCGTGGGCCTTCTGGACAGCCTTGAGTTGTTGTATGAGAACCGGACTCGTGGGCATTAAATGAAAGGAGTTCTCAGAAAATTCTTCATTTTTTCTTTGTAAAGAGGGAGGCAAGTTAATGTGCCTCTGCATTTAGATGACAAATGGCGATGACGAGTTTCTTTTTGTGTGCATTAATCTGCACACACGACTGCCGCATCGATGCAAGCCCTATCGTTGCACTTAGACATCCTATGTAAGGTGGACTAGGAACTAAAGAGGAAGCGGATTATCTTGGCGAAGGGTCTAGGCCTCTCAACGTCAACATGCACAAAAGTTCAAGACTCACACACCTGTCAACTCTACAACTTTCACAAGGACTCCCGAATTTTCGACAAACCTCCGGATAGTGTGGGCACTGCAGTAAATCTCCCGAAAAAACATCACCAACAGCACTGCAATCAGAAATTAATTTTAAAAGGCAGTGGTTTGAAACTTTTTTGCTTTTCATCCATCACATGTGAAATTTTCCTTAGCTCGCTTTCACCGCAACAATGTCAGGAAGAAACGCTTACTAAAATTATCAAGGAAAACTAGCTGATAACGGTAACATCACATAGGGTTCATTAATTACGCATGTGCCATATATTTACAAGTAAAAGTACAATTGTTGGCATCTAGGAACTTTACTGGCAATAATTCAGATCTCATGACATTATTGTGTCCCTGAAAAATAAATGAAAATGTATGCCGCTTTTCTTTTATTACATTCAAATTAATAAAGTTTTCTAGAAATATGAATATTTTGGTAACCATGCAAGATTTGTATTACCAAGCTTTCACTGATCGATTGATATGTGGGGTTTAACGTCCCAAAATCACCACATGATTATGAGAGAGGCCATAGTGGAGGGCTCCGGAAATTTAGACCACCGGGGTTCTTAAACGTGCACGCAAATCTGAGCACACGGGCCAACAACATTTCGGCCTCCATCAGAAATGCAGCCGCCGCAGCCGGATTCGGAACCCGCGTCCTGCGAGGTCAGCAGCAGAGTACCTTAACCACTAGACCACCGCGGCGGGGCACCAAGCTTTCACTGCGTTGAACCGAAAAAAAAAAAAAAAATTATCAATTCGAGTTTTTCATACAAGATGCTTGTGTGTGGATGGATGAATAATTTTATTATGGTCCTTCGGTGCATGCGTTTAGCGCACAGTGGGCCGCTCCCACAGTCAAGACAGACCTTGCCCTCCGCCGCGTCGCGGGCCCAATGCACAGCCCAGAGTTGTGATGCCAAGGTCTGAGCTGCGTAGAGCTCAGTCCCACTCTTCCTTAGTGATCCTGGCCCACGGTGCCAGGGGACAACCCTAAAGCATGTGAGCTAAACTTGTACGCGCAAAACAAACAAAAAAAAGGACTGAGCTTGATCTTAACACTTTTGAAACCACTCTCCTTTCTCTCTCTCTTTTTAATTCTGAGACACGTAATGCCTGCTGAACAGCCTCTATAGCCAACCACAGCCTTGATGAAACAAACTATAACAGAATCAGTGAAACCAAAAACTATGTTTCAGCCACATTGTCAGGCACTGAGCTTGAGCGCTGCAGCACATTGCGGGTAAGTTCTGGTGTGGAAGTGCAATGCAATGCTGATAAAGAGTTTCGTGAACAATGGTGCGAAAGGCACAGCTGTTCCAAATCTGCGCGAGTCATGTCTTGGCAACGGGAAGGAGTCTGCAGGATTGTTCCAACTGTACTCTCTACTGCAGGACGATGCCCACCAAAGACCCATCCTCGTTTTGCATTGCTTCACAGTTGGGTGGTGCCACCGCAAGGACACTGGGGGTATTTTGGTGTTTAGCGGCAAATGACTTTGGCTTGGCCAGCATTTCGCGAGAAAGCCAGTATACAGCCCACGTGGGTGCCGTATAGTGAAAACAACTTCTCAGGGGATGCAAAGATCCCCACACTGGTGTGATAAAAAAAAAAGGTTTGCCAGAGGCCAGGAGTTTTTTTATTTGTGTACAGGATCCCTCAGAACTTCATTCTGTGTGGGTACATACGGTTGCGCAGCGAGAAGCTGGCAGCCAGGTAGTGCACCAGAGCCCTCTTTTCGGGGTGCTTCTTCATGGCCTCCAGCACCTGCTTGTCGACCTCCTTCTGGACCTTCCGGTGCTCGTCACTCACCGTTCGCTCCTGCATGACACAAGGAACAAGAATCTCAAGCTTTCATTGAAGTGATGCAAACATGCACTCTTGCACAGAGGTACAGAAGATGGCGTTTGAGTAGAGAATCCTGACCATAGAGTTTCATAGAATAATACCTAAAGAGGAATCTGGCGCTGCGATTGTGTACCTCTACATGAGTTATGGGAAGTACAGGCTTCGGATTGGACAGGGTTAGCTAGTGAACTGTTTACGGACTTTTGTCTGCAATCTCAGTTTCATTCTTGTGCAGCGCGGGTGATGGGGTGCGGTGCAAAAGGCTGAAGCAGTGCCTTTGTTGTTCAAAGAGGCGGATGACCACTAAATCTCCCGATTTGCTGCGACTTAGGAGCTTTTCGAGTCGTATAGGACAATTTAAACAAAACGTCGTCAACTCACTGCTGCGCATAGATGTAGCGTCTCATGCCAGTGCAGGATATTGCTCCGAGTTCATGTTTTTCATGAGCGCGTCTTGCCTAAACTTGTTTTAAATCGACTGCAAAGTGATGACGAAGCTAAGTAGACGCGCCATCATGCTCCGTAGACTCGACCATATCAAAACCAGATAGTGCGTTGGAGGCAGACCACTGGGACAGACGCACCTAGCGTCGCAGAAGACGAAACGGTAAGTGCTTCTAACTTAATACAATACTAAATGATAACACATACTGTTGAGAAAAAAAAAAACAAGCATGTTTGTTTTAAAGTGTTGTAAAAAATAATTAATTAAATCTTGATGCCAAATCTGGAACGCAATGGCAGAGCGATGCATACCCTGATGGTTGAATTTGCTCAGGTTTCACTTTCGCCGTCTGATCACGAAAACTTTTTGCAATAAAGTTTGCGTATTAATGATTGAAGCAAGTTTGAATTAAATCCAAGTTCATATCACTTTGCTTTACACTCCGAGAAAAGCATCGCGAATCTCAAGAACGTATCCATCTGAAGCAGATCTGAAACCTGTACTTCCCATAATTCTCATGGGGGTACAAGAGCCGCTGAAGGAGCCCGCATAGACACAAGCGCTAGATTCCCCTCTAGGTATTATTGCATGAAACTCTATGATCTCGACGGACCACAACAGCAAGTGCAGACGGTGCAACATCATCAGGAATGGGCAAAATGGAGATGCAGGTTTTGTTACAGCATGGCAAATGGAGCATCCAGTCTGTGTCTCTCTTTCGCAGCCCTTACATGTGACACACAAAAATTTCAATGTTGTCCCTGTATTGCGAGTTTTCCCAGGATAACTTGATTAGGTAAGATCAAGAAACAAAGGTGACGCGTTTCAGTGGCAATAGTTGCTGAATACCACCATAATTACATGGTGTACCATCTCTAAGACAAGCTATCAGCCGTGGTACCAAAGCAGACGACTTACTCTGATGCCTTGAACAAGTGAGCTTCAACATAGAGCATGTAAACCATGCTTAGCATTAATTCATTGGGATGGTGTCTTACCACCTCCTGAATAGTTGCTTCCTGCTCGGTACAGTAATATGCAATACCAAAGGCAGCACTACAATATCTTTTTTTTTCTCAGTCTCCCCCACCCTCGATACTTCCCCCAAGAGGCACTAAGGCTACCGACTTAAAGCCTAAAACTGCTTGGACCTCCAAGTAGAACAATGCAGTGACTGGCAGTCTGTTGAACAGTTTTTTACAGTTGTGCACCTGCTTCCGCTGCTTGCTTTGTCCGACTAGCGGCTTCATCGGAACTACTCTGAAGCAGCTTGCCATATCACTTTAATACTAACTTCCTGCCTAGCTTAACCTGTGCATCTGCAATTTTTTTGCGCATGGCAATTAAAAATGAATTGTTCACACTGCAAAAAGATTTAATGTTGTCTCGAGCAGAATGCGCCTGAAAGTATGATGCAGCTAAGCAGCACAGTTGACGATACTGCAATGATGCCACTGTAGCTACGCAGTAGCTCACTGAAATTGGATCAGACTACAGATACACAGACCCTGCTTAGTCCACCTTTCTTTTTGCCCAATTTTCACACTCTCACGATACACAGTTCACTTCTTCAATAACAATAGAGTTACTCTACAAATATATGTCTGACAGAAAAAAACAATACAAATGGGTGGCACTACAGCATCAACAAATTTGAGTAATGTTTGAGGCTAACTCACTTTGGTGCAGAAACCAGTCTCTGAACAGCAAGTATCTGATGCTTCCATAGCATAACCACCCAACACAAGTAAAGTTGAATTTAAAAAACAAGGCCCTCAGCAAAAAGTTCAAGAAGCAAGAAAGTTTTTATTTTCGTTTCTTTCTCTTGCTCTGCGCTAGATATTAAACTTTTCTGGCCAAAGCAACAAAAATACTGTAGAGTTAAAACAATATTCCCAAAAATACTCAACTTTTCTTTCATTGCCTGTTCACGCTCAACATCTGTGTTCATCGCTAGTTACGATTTAATGTTGAATTCCAATGGCGGAGTCGGAGCAAGTTTTTCTGCTCCTTTCAGAGCAAGTGTGTTCCAATGACAGAGTGAGAGCGAGAGTCAAAAGTTCCAATGAGAGAGCCGGAGGGGATTCAGAGCGGGAGTCCCTCCGTGGAACAGTGACGTGCCTGCTTGGGGGCGTGGCTGGCGCGGCGCAAGTTGTGTTGATAATGGCAGATGGCATGGACGGCTCGGCTACCTCGGCAAAGCGTGCGGCAATGCTTCTGCTACTCGATAGCGACAGCAGACATCGTGGACAATAGCTGTTGCACGCTTGGCGTGATATCCATTCCACACAGGTGAATAGCGCGGAACAAGCAAAACGAACGATGCTGGTAAACCACGTGGGAAATAGACAGCGGAAAAGACCACGCGCAAGGTATCCTGGGTAACGCGGCAGCTTCTGCCTTGCTCCAGCAGGGCGGGTTGTGTTCCGATGGCGGATTTTGAGGATTTGCTCTACGCCAGAGTCGAGCGCTCGCTCGCGAAGTCGGTCGGCTGCACCGACTCCGCCATTGGAATTCAACATAAGAGAACATCTTGGAGCACTTTCCGGTCCGACCAGACTGGGTTTTTTTTTATCTCTCTCTCTCTGCACTAGATACCGTATACACGCGTGTAAGGGCCGCACCCGTGTAAGGGCCGCATCCCGTTTTTAAGAAGCACATATTAAAAAAAAAAAAAGTTGTGTGTAAGGGCCGCATCCGCACTTTCCTTGACCCATGCGTATTCAAAATGCGCGCGCGTGTGTGAGCTATTAGGCGTTGTCAGTAGATGGCGTTAGGGAATGCAATTTTTCAACATCACCATATAGTACATCATTAGACTAATTTGTTGGTTTTCTTCATGCTAATATGTTCATGAAGTTGGCTAAAATTTTTTAGTTTTTTCAGTAGTGTTCATACACCCGCCAACTAAAGGTTAAAGCAGGATTTTATCTAACTTCTGACACTTCTATACAAACGCACTATCCATATCGGCATTAGCATCACCAACTTTGGTATTTGTGCGTTGTTCGGTCATTGTGCTGTTCAGCCTGCCATGTGCTCGAGTTTTGCGCACCGTTGAATGACTCTGGGACTCCAGCTAGTTTTCTGCGGGACGTTTACGTTTTCGCACGATGGGCAAGCAGCTGAATAGCTATACAGCTGCCTTTAAGGGGAGACGCGGGTCGAAAAGTCGCGTTTTTTTTCCAAATTTCACCTTTTCTGTTTTTTGTTGCTTTATCATCTTTATACATTATATTTTGACATCTGAAAATATCACAGCGAAATAAGCATCAGAAGTCAGTGAAAAACGCGTCTGAGTGAGCGGCAGTGACGCGCGGCATCACGAAATTTACACAAAACGGGCTGCTGTTCGCGTGCTCGCGGGGCCGCGAAGAGAGCTGTCCGCCATATTGCGGCCGCTGGCTCGTGTAGAGTTGTCCTTACTCTCCACGATCCCGGTTCTTGAAGTCTCGTACGTTCACGAAAAATCTAAAAAAAAAGCAACAAAACAGTCTTTTCCCGCCGTTTCAAACCGCGCGCCACTAACGCAGGGCCGCCATTGGCTGACAGCACCCGTGTTTTCTTGCCGTAGTTCGCTTCACTGTTTTCCGGAGTTATTTTTCGCTGTTTTCGTGCGATGGCAAGCCCGAAAAAGGCCGTTGCCGACCATCGGAAATACAGAAGTAAGAACAAGTTCAGAGGGAAGCGGCGGAGGACGTACAAGAAAGCCACCGCCAACGAAAATGTCCGCGACGGGCCAGCGGCCGGTAGGCCTAACATCGACCACGGCAACGTCGACCATGGCAACTGCGACGACGAGATCAACGCTGCAGTGAATTTTGTGAGTGCATCGCAGAAAAAGATCGCGTTATTCGAAAACGACGTCAGGCCGAACGCCGATCGTGCCGAAAGCGTAGTGCTGTGCGAGTTGGGTGCATTGACGGCCGTCGTCGCAGGCGCGGCATGCCCCGTTTGTCACGAGAGTAAACTCGCAGTTCGGGCACCGAATAAAAAGCGGAAAGGCCTTTCGGCGTTTCTGGAGCTACACTGCGAGAATGCGGAGTGCTCGGAGAGCATCCTTTCGTCCGCGTACTCGTCGAAGCGGGTCGCGTCAGATGGCGGCCGCGGTGCAAGCAGAAGCTACGACAGCGGGAGTTCGCGTGACGCCTTTGCCGTGAACCTGAAAGTGGTGCTTGCAGCGCGTGCCGTCGGTATCGGGCATGAGCAACTTTCACGATTTTGTGCAGTAGTTGGATTGCCAAACCCTATGCACCATAAGACCTTCCATGCTATCGGCAAAAAGATTCACAGTGCGGCAGTGAAGGCTGTCTGTGAAAACATGCAAAGGGCACGCAGCGTCACCAAAGAGGTGGCTGGTAACAGTGACGTGCCAGTCATGTTTGACGGCACATGGCAAAAAAGAGGCCACAAAAGCCACAATGGTGTGGGAACTGTAGTGTCCTTGGACACTGGTTTGTGCCTGGACTATGAAGTGCTTTCCAACTTCTGCCTGGCGTGCAGTTTGCATAACGACATGGGAGGCGATGAAGAAACATGGCAGGCGTTTCATCATCCCGTTTGTGAGAAGAATTGCGACTGTTCTTCGCATGCCATGGAGGCCGAAGCTGCAGTGCGCATTTGGCAGAGGACTGTGGACTATGAGACACCCCTGCGGTTCACCATCTTCCTAAGCGATGGAGACAGCAAGGCCTACAACGGGGTCTGTGATGCCAACGTGTACCCTGACACTCCAATTGAAAAAGAGGAGTGCACCAACCACGTGGCGAAACGTCTGGGCACCGGCCTGCGGAAGCTGCCAACGCCACTTCCACGAGGGGAGAAGCTGAAGGAGACCACCATCCAGAAGCTTCAAACTTACTTTCAGGTGGCCATTGTGAACAATCGGGGAAATGTCCACAAGATGTACACTGCCATATGGGCCTCATGTTTGCACTCGTGCTCAACAGACGGTGCTGGAAGTCACAAGTTCTGTCCTGCAGGCCCAGACTCGTGGTGCAAGCACCGACGTGCTGAGGCGCAGGGCCAGCCTGCACCGTGCCACACCCCCCTCCTGACCAAGGCCCAGGGTTTGGCAGTCCTCCCAATCTACAAGCGTCTCACAGATGCGAAGCTGCTTGCCCGGTGCCTCCACGGCAAGACACAGAACGCGGCCGAGTCCCTGAACAGCAAAATATGGCTGCTGTGTCCAAAGACCCGGTTTGCTTCCCGGACTGCTGTGGAAACAGCCACAGCCATTGCAGTCCTGTGGTTCAACCGGGGCCACGCGAGCTTTGAAAAGGTGCTGGAAGAGCTTGGGGTGCTTCCTTCGGAGGCCCTGGTTACCCTCAGCGACCGCCGAGACAGCATGCGCATGCACAAGATGAATGTGCGTCAGACCGCTGAGGCGAGGGCACACCGTCGCAGTGCAGCCAAGAGGGCCCGGGTGGAAGAGTCCTGCCGCACCAGCCGGGAAGGGAAAACCTACGGTGCTGGAGAGTTTTAGACAACTGATATTCCCTCTGGACATGTGTGTATGTGTTCAGCACAAGTTTCGTGCTACTGCGTTTTTCATTTTTGTAAATACAGACTTTCAAACTTTCAAACGCGTTTTTCTCATTTCGCAATTTTGGCCAATTTGCATTTTTTGCGGGAAGTGTTTCGGGCACTTAGAATGGTCATACGACGACGAAATTTGGCACACACATTGAGGAGAGTGCGTAGGGTGCCGATATCTACTTGAATCAGCACAACCTATCAGCTGTAAATATCTATTAATAAATTTAATGGTGGTCGAGTGGAAAAAAAAGGGTAGTTTGCTACACAGATGTTTTTTTCATAGTTTCAAAGTTGGAGCACAATTTCTAGCTAGATATCGGCACTCTATGGCTAATAGGGAGCAAAAGGAGCCATTGAACAACTCTCTGCATGAACATTTAGTATGCGCGAAAGTTCCCGGAAAACTTATCAAGTTTCACCATTACTTGAAACACAACTCCCAAACTATTGCACTTATGTAAAAACTGATTACAGATTTGGAATCAGGAGGAAAAACTGCATCAGTGGTCCAATTTCTGAAGCTCTAAGTTGAATAACAAAAAAAAAAGTGCTTTCGAGGAGCGTCTCCCCTTAAGTTGAAGGTGATCGAGTTTGCCCTCGAGCACGGGAAACGGGCCGCCGGCAGAAAATTCGACGTTGACGAGAAGTGTGTTCGACGTTGGTGCGCCCAGAAGAAAGCCTTGCAGAACACCAATATCAAAAAGCGCGCTTTCCGAGGAAAACAGTGCAAGTATCCCGATTTGGAAGAGGAGTTGCTCCGCTATATGACTGAGGTGCGGAACGATGGTTTTGCGCTCACTACAGACATGCTGCGCATGAAGGCACTAGCCTTGGCACGTGCGAAAAATATACCGGCCGGGGATTTCAAGGCTAGTGCTGGCTGGGTGCGAAGGTTTATGAAAAGAAAGGGACTCTCTTTTCGGCGAAGGACCACGCTGTGCCAGCGGCTGCCAGAAGACTATACCGACAAGGTGCTTAGTTTTCACAAGCATGTCATCGGCCTGCGCCATCAGCACAGTTATTTGTTGTCGCAAATAGCGAACGCTGATCAAACTCCTGTGTGGTTTGACTCTCCCGAGAACTACACAGTTGAAGTAAAAGGCAAGAAGAGTGTCGCCGTGCGGACCACCGGCGCTGAGCGCCAACGCTGCACCGTGATGCGTTGTGTGACCGCGGACGGGCGGAAGCTACCCCCGTATGTTGTTTTGAAAAGGAAAAGAATTCCCAACGAAGTTTTCCCCAAGGGCATCATAGTTAGAGCCCAAGAGAAGGGATGGATGAACGATGATTTGGTGCTAGACTGGATGAAAAGTGTTTGGCAGAACAGACCGGGAGCTTTGTTGGCCAAACATTCACTTTTAGTATTGGATAGTTTCCGCGGCCACCTTACCGATAAGGTGAAGGAGCAGCTGCGCCGTGTCGGCACAGACATGGCCGTGATTCCAGGCGGCCTCACAGGAATGTTGCAACCATTGGATGTGAGCGTGAATCGACCATTCAAAGTTGAATTCCGAAGACTCTACACGGAATGGATGGCAACCGGCAACCATGAGCACACGCCGATTGGACGGCTGAAGAGGGCACCGCTTGCTACTGTTCTCGGTTGGATATTGTCGGCGTGGAGCTCGGTGTCGACGGACATTGTGTCCCGAAGTTTTAAGGTTACTGGGATATCCAACAGCCTGGATGGCACCGAAGATGACTGTTTGTGGAATGATGGTGCTCCGCAACACACTATCTCGGACTCCGAGTCAGAGGACTCGTCGAGTGACGACGATTAAGCGCACACGCGGCATACTGCAATAAACGCTCTTCGTTCACTAACTGGTACGTTGTTTTTAGTTCACCACAAAAAAAGTTCCGTGTATGGGCCGCAACCTGAAAATTAGCACACACTTCCTGAAAAAAAAGTGCGGCCCTTACACGCGTTTATACGGTAATACATTTCCTGGCCAAACCAACGTAAACACAGCATAGTTAAAACATTATTCTCAAAAATATACTCAACGTTACTTTTGTCTCTTCATAGATAGTTTACGATAAAAAAGAAAAAACATGTTGGAGCACTTTCCGGTCCGACCAGACAGAGGTTGAATCTGGGCAGAAGGATATATGCACCCTGTTTATGTTTGGCAGTCTATGGAGGGACACCCCATTAGTAAGGGCATGTCCCTTGTAAGCAGATCAGCCAGCATGCTCATATATAACTCGAAACAGCAAATTTCCAACCAAGCAACTGAAGATTCCAGCGGTGTATACGTGACAACTTCTATACACCAAAATTACATTGTTGAAACGGCTCTCTGACTCGGAAGTTCCAAAGCGAGTTTCGACTTGAAATCACAATGTCCAAATGGGCCTTTCGTGCACATCCTCAATTTGTGGCCTATTCCAAACAATGAGTAAAAGTTAACTGGGAAGAATTTTGAACAGTAATGTTTAACCCAGTGTTTCTTTAAGACCTCTCAAGAAAACTACCCACAGACCTGGCAAACTATCAGTTGTGCTTATTAGATAAATGCAACATATGACTGTTTTCAATGCAAAACAAGAATATCAAATTAAAAAAGACGAAGTAACAAGATGGCTGAACATGAGGAGAAGCAAACTTTTTTAAGAAAGGGAGAAGACGCACCTGTGGCTTGGTGTCAAAGATCTCGCCCTCGTCCTTGCGGCTTCGCCTCTTGGCCGACTTTGGTCGATTGAAGAAGCGGTCGTCGAGGTTTTCGGGCAGCTTGACTGACGAGATGTCAATCTTGGTGCTGGTGGCGATCACGTAGATCTGGTTGATGCGTCTCAGAGGGCAGCCGTTGATGCCGTAGGGGCCGGTCACCATGAGCAGGCCCGTCTTGAGCTGCTTCAGGAAAACTACCCTCTGCAGGGAAAACAGCGGCACAACCAAGGGTGTCAAGAGGACAATTCTCCTCCCACAGGTCATACTGCCACAACACCTGCCATGCTTCTCTTCTTATCACAACAGCTCACTGTAGCACATTTTGAAAGCCTTCACTCGAAAAATATGTAAATAAAGCAGCACCACACATTATTTTAAATAAAGTCTCCGCAGGGGATGTCTTGGGAATTTTTACGACACTACAGCCCCTGAAATGAGAATGCTCTGACATCTGGACACCCACACTGACACAGGATTGTTAACGTCTCACTATAAATAAACGTGAGTTTGTTTCATTTTTGCATTCCCTTATAATAATCAACCTATTTGCACACCAATGAATAAGCAAGCACAATTGATGAAAACATGCTACCATTTTAATGTGTTTACTTACTGTAACTGCTAAATGCATCGTCTCCAATAGGAGCAAACATGTCGGAGCACTTTCCGGTCCGACCAGACAGAAGTTGGGTCTGGGCAGAAGGATATATGCACCCTGTTTATGTTTGGCAAATCATGCCCCGGCACCCCATTATAAGGGAATGCCCCTACAGATAGATTTGCCAGCTTACTAGTCATACATAGATACGGAAATGGGAAAAGGCTGTCTTTTCTCACTGCCTAGACAAGCAGAACTATGTTATAAGACCTAGACGCATGTTCAACTGATACAGGTTCACACACACAAGATACACATTTTTAAGGGGAGATGAGAATAGAAAAACCGAGTTTTTAGCGACACTTCTCGTATTTCTGGTTTTTATTGAATTGTAATCCTCAACCTTTCTTCTATCATCTGTGAAACTTTCAAAACAGAATTCGAACAGCAAAATGCAAAATATGTGTATAAAGCCGTCGCAGTGGCTCTAAACTTTGCGAATTTCCGCTAATATTGACCACCTTTGAATGAGTGCTGCTCTGCATCGCAGCGCCGCCCGCCGTAGCGACCAGTTAGGAAAGTTGCGTTCGGCCTTCTTACAGCTCCAATGCCAGTTTCGTACGTGAGCACAAAAAAATAAATAAAACATGGCTTTTTTACCGCGCGGTTTGAGCGGCTTGAAACACGCGGCACTGTCAGCCGCATCGCCATTGGCTACCGAGTCAGTGTCGGCGGTGCGGTGACGGCCATTGGGATTGGTCCGTCTACTTATCTGCGCGTCTACGCATATTCTCGCAACCGCAATGACAAGCCCGAAAAAGTGCAACGAGAGACCACAGAAGTTTCGAACGAAGCAAAAGTTCAAGGGAAAGCGGCGTAAAGCGCGTCAAATGACGGCGATGAAAGAACCAGCCTACGTGTGCTAGGCCTAGCAGCGGCATCAAAGGGTGCGGGAGCGACAGTGGTTGCGATGAAGGGATCGATGCTGTGCTTTCTTTCGTCAGTGCCTCAGAAAAAGATCGGCTTCTTCGATAAGGACAAGAGACTGTGCGATGAGGTTTGTACGATGACAGTGTTGTGCGACATTCTTGATGACGGCACTTGTGGCGGGTGCGGCATGCCCGGTTTGCGGTAATAAACAACTTGCAGTTCGGGAGCCGGCAGAAAAGCGCAAGGGACTTTCGTCGCTCCTCGAACTTTCTTGTGCAAACAGCAAATGCTTAGCGACTGTACTTTCGTGCTCTTATACGTCACCGCGTGTTACGGCAGATGGCAGCAGCCGAGCGAGCCAACAGTACGACAAGGGGAATGAGATGGTTTCGCCAGTAAATGTGAAGGCGGTGGTGGCTGCACACACTGTTGGCATCGGGCATGAGCAACTGTGGAGATTTTGCTCCATCATTGGGACTCGCAAAGCCAAGGCAACATCAAGGATTTTTTTTCCATAGCTACGAAAGTGCACACCGCTGCCATGGAAGCTGCTAGTGAAAACTTGCTCCAATCGAGACAACTGACAAAAGACGCAGCAGGCGAAACTGATGTGGCTGTCATGTTTGATGAGACTTGGCAGAAGAGGGGCCACAAAAGCCAATACGGTATTGGCACAGCTATCTCCTAGATACTAGCCTCTGCTTGGACTTTGAGGTCAGTTAAAATTTCTGCCTGACATGCAGTGGACACAAGGATATGGGCCCTGAGGAAGTGTGGCAGGCGTTCCTTGGACCAGTCTGTGAAAAAATGCACAGTTCCTCCGATGCCATGGAAACAGAGGCTGCAATGCGCATTTGGCGGAAACGTAGAGTTACGAAACTCCACTGCATTTCATGAAGTTCTTGAGTGACGGTGACAGCAAAGCATTTAGCGCAGTTGACTAGTCAAAAGTCTATGGGGCTCTCAATATAGAAAAAGAAGACTGCACTAACCACGTGGCCAAAGACTTAGCACTGCGCTACGGAAGCTTCACGTGCTATTACCAAGAGGGCAGAAAATGAGAGAGCCGGACATTCAGAAGGTTCAAACGTATTACCACATTGCCATAACAAGCAACAGGGGGAGCCTACGAGATATGTACACCGCAGTATGGGCTTCATACTATCAATCACTCATGCTCTACGGACAATGCTGGCAGTCCCAACTTCTGCCCTGCAGGAACACTCATGGTGCAAACAAACAAGCTGAAGCACTTCGCGAACCTTCACGCCCCACACCTCTTCTGACAAAAGCCCAGGGATTGGCTGTTCTGCCGATTTATAAGCGACTAACAGGTGAGAAGCTCCTTGCTCGATGCATTCAAGGGAAAACCCGAAATGCATCAGAATAACTGCACAGCAAGATGTGGCTACTTTGCCCCAAGACCAAGTTTGCCTCCCTGAACAGTTGTCGAAAATGCCGCCGCTATCGCAATCCTGTGGTTCAATAAGGGTCATGCTAGTTTCGAGCACATCCTGGAAAAGCTGAACATACTCCCATCTAGGGATCTAGTTGCTTTCAGCGATTCCTGCGATGCGAAGCACATCAAGAGGATGTCCGGGCGTTTGACAGCAGAAGCAACGGCCCACCGTCGTCGTGGAGTAAAAAGGACACGGCTCGAGGAGTGAGCTTGCTTGGAAGGACCGTGACGGCACAACTTATGCTGTTGGACAGTTCTAATAACTTGCAGTGCTTCTCAAAGTTCTCTTGAACATTATGGCCAAAGAATATGCATTTTGACAATTCTGTGAGAAAAAAGAAAGGTTTAAAACTTTCAAATGCATTTTTCTCTTTTTTCAGTTTTGTGATCTGTGCTGCTTATGCACGCCAGTTAGTATACTTAGAATTCTCACAACTCTACGAAATTTTGCACATAGCATGATGAAGGCCTGTAGAGCACAAGTATCTATTATTTCCAATGCTGCTTAGTTATGTTTTTCCAAATGTTACATAACATTGAAAGCCCTTGGCAACTAGAGCCATGGTAGAGTTTATTTTATTATTGTATTTCACCTTTTTACTAGGGGTGTGCGAATATCCGAAAGTTTCAAATATTCGACGAATATTGCATTTGTAATATTTGTATTCGTTTCGATAACCACATATTCGAAAATTTCAAATATTTGAAGTAACTCGAATATTCCTCAAATATTCTACGTTTACAAATATTCATTCGTAGGCTTGTGCGATTATTTGAATGCTTCGAATATTAAGGTATTCGAATTCTCTTCTGTTTGAATTTAAATTATTGAAAATTTTGAAGTATTCGCAAGAAACGAATAGGTGCATATCAATCTGTGGTTTCACTGCAGTGTAAGGGTGGCTGATCTGTGAAAGCACCTATCCAGGAGAAATCCGCTCTGCCGCGAAGCCCCCACTCCCCACCCCCCTTCGAATTTAAAGGGGCCCTGCAACACTTTTTGAGCATTGTCAGAAAACGCTGCCGATCGGTAGTCGAGGCTACTGAGAACACGCAAGTCAAATATTATAGCGCAGCATGCTACCTGCGATTCACACTAAATTCTCAGTCAGCTAAAAATTGCCCTCTTCTCTTGGCAAATGACTTCGATTGATATGTGGAGTTTAACGTCCCAAAACCACCATATGATTATGAGAGATGCCGTAGTGGAGGGCTCCGGAAATTTCGACCACCTGGGGTTCTTTAACGTGCACCCAAATCTGAGCACACGGGCCTACAACATTTCCGCCTCCATCAGAAATGCAGCCGCCGCAGCCGGGATTCGAACCCGCGACCTGCGGGTCAGTAACCGAGTACCTTAGCCACTAGACCACCGCGGCAGGGCTTGGCAAATGACTTCACAAGCTCAGAAAGCACGTGCGACGTATTTTTTTCCCATGCCATCCCTCCCTGCTTAGCTTCCAGTGGTTTCGTCGGTATGAGATGAGAGACAGTGGTTTCGTCGGTATGAGATGAGAGAAAGCACTAGCAGCACGCGAGAAATCTTTGCAACTCCGCGAGTACAGGACGGATTCTAAAAATATTTGCAGCGGTGAATTCATGAGGCAATAAATAAGCTTCCTTAGTGAATTAATTCCATGGCTACTTAAAAAAGTGCAGCACGGCCCCTTTAAGTGAAAATATTACTCTCAAATCAATTCATTTTATTAAGCTTAAAAGCTTGTTATGATGGCTTGTATGCTCTAAGTATACTAAACCTTAAAATGTTACGTATTACAAGGGTTATGACAAATCCTGCTGAAAGCGAAATCCTGCTACTACTCAAAGTTCTTCAGAATGTTTTTTTTAATAAAAAAAACGGCATCTGCATAGAGGCTTCATTTATTAAAAAAAAATATTGTGCAGGTTAGTTAGGTGATGATAAATATACCCATTTTTCTTTATGTCATATATACTATTCGAATTCGATACGAAATTATTCGACCAAAATCCCCATTCGCTTCAAACCTGAAAATCACTATTCACACAAGACTATTCGTTCGCATATGTCACTGTGAAGAACTTAGTATTTTGCACATTTGCCATAAAAGCCTCATTAGATCACGCAGTTATTATGATGACTTCAGCGCAAGTGCGGTGATGCTTGCGTGGAAATTCATGGGAGCGTGATGACAGCTACCAACAAATGTGGCGGCAAGTCATCGCGACAAACCTACCAATGATAAATATCTCAATCAATCTAAATCATGTACTGCCTGCGCGGCAGTACGTGTGGCTTAGCGGTGTAGCGCTGTTAGGGTTCATGCAAGCGTACTGACCACGCCATCTGCTGCACGCTGGACCACATGTTCACATCGCTCATGGAAACGAAGGCAACTCGTCGCTGCCACATTGGTTCAACAGAATTAACTTTACAAAGTTTGCTCGGTCTCGTGCTGAGCGAGCACGAAGAAAAAAAATCTCTACGCAAGGACAAATGCACACGTGTACGTTACAGGGCACGGCACTGATGGACTGAGATTTGTAGGCGATGCACCGCGTGCAACTAGCTAAGGGCGCGCTCAGCTTGACGTATGATGGTTGCATGTATAGCCATGCCACTTTTAGCCAATGAATCACCGTAGAAACGTACGCGCACATGTCGAAGGCTGACAAGTGGTCCGTCAGCTGTGTCGTTACTTCAGCATGTATGCCCTCTTCATAGTTTCAGAATGATGTCATGATAGCGAATATGGTCATGCAAATGAGCTGAAGTGTTTTTACGCACAATGGCCAACATATAAAAGGCCATGCACTTTTGATACCGTTACAATGGCGTCACCACATATAGTTCTCCATTGCTAACTGTAACGTAGGTAAGGTGACAAACGGAATACTGCGTAGTTCCGCTGTGTTTCCGACTGCACCTTTAAAAATTTGTCGGACGCGCATCGAGCTCGCGGGGCAAGGTCTCCGGCAATCACCCTCCGTTACACCATTGCTATGATATTGCTCTTTTGCCAACGTCAGTTTACTGCCGAAGGGGTCGCGATGCGGCAAAATAGTGCCCTAGCCGCCGAGAGTTGTAGCTCCATCAACAAAAAAGCGTATTTGGGGCGTCTTTTTATCACACATTAGTAATCATCTATCTCGTGCACTTACCTCGCGTTACTGCTGCGCGCGCAGTACACCTCGGTCACGACCGTGCAGCTACCAGCACAGCACAGCATTCTTGATCGCGAAATGGCGAACGCGGTCCTCGAGAAGGCAACAGAAGCAAGCGAGATAACGAGTATTGCCGTGTAGTTGAACGCCCCTAAGTACTCCTATTTTCCTTTGTGACTTGCCCGGGTATGAGAACAGGGGACAAGAAAACTATAAAATCGAGGTCTTTTGAGCCATAACTGGATGAATTGTGACGACCTAGACTGTTTTAATAATCGCTTACACTCGAGTATATTAATTTTTACAAAATCAAACCAATGGCCTCATGCTCAGAAGTCATCAAGGCAAGTACAAAGCTTTTCTTTCTTTTTTTTGTAATAAAGTGCTACCACATAAAAAAAGATACAAGAGAATTGTTCATCAGGTGAATTGAACCCAACGTCACAGTCACTAGCTCAACTATTAGTCTTATGCTTTCTGGCAAGTACAAATTTTTTTTGAAATATTTGCTTTCTGGCAAGTACAAATTTTTTTTGAAATATTTTTAAGTTTTGTGTGCAATACTGACTATAACAACAGCTGTACCGTTTCTAATCTAAATATACGATAGAGTAAAGTATTACTGGCGGAAAAAAATTGCACCTCTGCATTATTCGATATTCGGTTCGTATTCGAAAATTTTGAGATTCGCACACCCCTACTTTTTACACATGAAACTTGTTATAGTTTTTTGCACTCTACAGTTCCAAAGGATCATAGTGAGCTATATCTGCATGCTTTATCTCAAAAGTTTTATAGGTCAACATTATTGCATAACAATGGCCATAATTTCACAGTATCTCAGCAGCACAAATAAAACCAAACAAGCTACATGAAAATAAATGACATATTTCAAAAGAGGAGAAAAATCTATTGACATGCCCATTTGTGTTCAATTCAAACTCTTATTAAAGAATATCGTTTTCAGAGTAGAATCTCCCCTTAACTAAAGCAACTACCGTATTTACTCGCGTAATCCTCACACTAGCATAATTCTCGCACCCCCCACATCGGCCAACAAAAACGCATTTTTTTCCTAGAGTAATTATCACACCCCAAAAATTACCGCAATAATGTCGTCTGCTCGTTCCAGCCGTTGATGATAACGTGTGCCATCTCTTAAGCATCAAGTGCGCGTGCGGCGTGTTTAGTATGTTGTGTCGGTAATCTTGTCACTTTATGGGGCGATACTGAAGCTGCACGGCTGCTTTAAAGCTGAAAGTTATTGATCATACACTAAACAACGGCAACAGGTTTGCCGGTAGGCCCTTTGGAGTCTACGAGTTTTGTGTTCGCTACTGGTGGCGGCAGCTGAAAGCCACCAAGAGACGTTTGGGCCTGCAGTGTGCCTAAGACTGGGATTGATGGTAAATGTTATTTGTTTAGAAGAAAACTGCGGACAATTCTGTTAAATAGCCATCAGCCCAATACTGACATCCTATGTTTACTTTTTGAGGGCTCCTGTTGAGAGACATACACTACCGCTACGCCCGCAACGCCCACAAGCTTTGCGTATGGTATTCTAATTCCAGACTCAAATAAATCTTGCCTTGTGTTGAACCTGTGCTTTTATTGTTGACATAAGGTTTGATTAGTATTTCTCGAAGCTTGCTGTTAGTTGCCGATTTGCGGCCACTTCGTTTTCTTTTTCGCTGTGTATATACAGTTTTCGTGGAAAGTTTTTCTTGCGTAAATCTCGCATTCCCTAACTTTACATCGGTTTTCCGCCGAAAAAACTGCGAGGATTATGAGAGTAAATACAGTACCCACATCTAAAATTCTAATGATGTGTATAAGTACTACACTTTTCACTGGTTAGTTGAAGCAACATTTTGAATTGCCTCTGAAGTCACAAAAGATGCCAATTATGTTCAGGCATTGAAAATTTATCCTAACAATGTTCCTGGTGCAAATATTTGGCATCAGAGTGAAGAGCTGAAAATTGTGCACCACTGCAAAAACAGGACATGCCTTGAAAGAGGTGCAACTAAATTTAAATTTCAAGGTGCAGGATATTTTATGTAGTGACAGTGTCTGAAACAGAAAAAACCGAGCATAAGTACACAATTTTAGGGCCAATAGGTGTCAAGAACACAAACATGCTGCTTTGTTCCGGCTGTTCGTAAACACGAGACATGTTTGCACGATCAGGTATGAAACTATCACTTTGAATGAAGCGTGAATTGTGCAATACTGAACTTTCTTTTTTTTCTCCCACTGACACCATAATATAACAGCTAAACTAGAGCAGGATTTCCCCTACAGATTGAAATCTTTGCTTATAAACACTCAAACTTCATTATAGAAAAAGTTGCATCTTGCACGAAAATAGGTTTGTTCTATCCAAAAATTTGTTATAATAGTATATTCCTAACACTATATTTATTTTAGGACTATTCATTTACGCCATTATAACCGATTCTTCATTATGTCTGGGTTTGTTATAAGCAAGTCAGCCAGCACAACACCATAACTTCAGTACACTGAACAAGTTGACTTCACTCATACATTGGCCGTTTGAGAATTGCACCAGTTTTGGCTTCAGCTGCTCATAGCAAAGTAAAACACCCTCCTCCTTCTTGCACTTGAGATTGTCCTTGCACAGGACACGCCCACAAGGATGGAAAAAAAAATGCTCTTAGACAGGAGCTTTTCTGCCCACCAGCTCACCTTGCCACGGTGGGGTCCAGCCAGAAGGATGAGGATGGTGCCAGGGGTGATCCTCTTGCGGAGCTTAGCAATTCGCAGCGAGGAAGGCTTCATGTGGGTGGTCCTCTTATGCTTGGGGCTGTCCTCCGTAGGGTAGGAGCGGCGCTACAATGAAAACAAAAAACAGCAATGCCATGAGGCAGCCAAGATAATAGCGTTTCCAGACATAGGTTGCACTGTATGCACTATCCATGCATACAGCTACACATCGATATTAAGGGGGACACATTTCAACTTTCTATATTTCTTGATCAATTTTGATGAAAGTGTGCACTTAGGATATTTGTGTGCTGATATCAAATATGCAATAACTCTTTTTGCATATGCACAGTTTCGAAAGGTAAAACATTTCATGCACCGTTTGGGGCTAAACTTTATATAGAAAGAGTTACAAAGTAAATCAGCACATCACAACAACTGCGTGCAGTCTAATATAGAAATGAATGTTTTAAGCCTATTTGAAGGCAAGTTACGGTATGTTGAACATTTCCAAGCGAGTCGATTCCAAGCTTAGATTTCTTTAAATTTTAATTAATGTTCAACATATGACAGGTGGATGACACTTTTTTTTTCATTGTACGCAGTTCTGATTTCAGAAGATTCCAGAATATACTGACTGCAATGCACCGGCTTTAACACTTACCTCCTTCTTGATGTGAACAACGCGCTTGCCGCCATTGTTATCGCCGTTGATCTTCTTGACGTGGACACGCTTCTTGCGCTTTCGCTTCTCCTTGGGGACTGGCGCGTGCTTCACCTTGAAGAGGCCCCGCTTGTGGAACATCTTGGAGCGGGAGAAGAGCCACACGCCACCGGGGAGCTTCTGGTTCCGCGGGGCATGCGCCTTCTTGGGGACTGCCGCATCACCCTTTGCAACAGCGGAGGCGCCCTTGGCAGCAGTCTTTGCCGCCGCAGGCGCCTTCTTCGCCTTTGGATCTGGCTTCCCAGACATACTTTCACCGCCTTAGACTGCACCAAGTATAGAGAAAGTGAGAGATCAGGCATGTTGGGTAGCAGAAACAAGTGTCTAAACTGGCAAAAGAAATATTAACCACTTCGTATAAACATTGTGGATACGTAGATCACAAAAGCCGCTCTTTTCCATCCCTCCCATGGTCACCAAGCTTTCAGTTATGAACCACAGCTTTACGAAACAACAGTTGCACTGAAATGACGCCACTTAAAACACTCACAATCGATACGTTCACAAGATGAGGCATCAGCCCACACTTTCGCTTTTAGTGTCAGAAGTACAAAGTGAAATAGCACAAGCACCTCGTACTTATTGCGCTAGAGACCGGTTTTGCACAGAAGAGACGCACGGTAGTGACAAGGCAACGGCTAGCAAGGAACTTAACGAGCTCGTGCTACCTGTAGAAACGCGGCACACAACTACATTGTTCTTAAACATAGTGAGCAATCGGACACAGTTCCTTCGCACCAGTATACTGGCACATCAAACACGAGGCTTGCACACTTTTATGTGCTGTGACGCACCCGACTACCGCAATCACATCTCCAAATCTACGTTCCAGCTTGTAGTGAAGCGACCGCAGTTAGCTATATATACGTCGCATTGCACAAGCGAACTAACCTGCTATTTGGGAACGGTCCCAAATAACGCCGGTTACTAGCCACAACGAGCATGTCAGCTGAGAGAGCTCCACGCGAAGCCACTTCTACAGACACCGCTGCCGTTCTTACGCCAACGAGCACACGCGTGGAATATTCGGCACTTGACAGCTTTAACAGTAAGTGACGCTCCTATCGCATGTTACAAACGCGCAGCTTTTAATAGTCTCCGAGTGGCCGCGTGACGCGGTCTACGAAGTGAAGGCTAAGCAAGCGGTGCCGCAGATCGCCGAGTTAACGACTATGCATGCATCAACGATTTATTGTAGCACAGTGGGGTATGGAAAGTGACTGCAAATGGGCGTTCCAATTTCCCTGTACACAACAGCGGCAAAAAGAAAACAACGTAAAGCTGTAGTTCTCAATACATTTAGAAAGTTCACGAGTGCTACAGCGGCTAACGTGATTTCGCTACCGCATTGTGCACTTACAAAAAAGCGTAGACATGAAACTAACGCCCTAAACGTAATTAAGAAGCACAGAGCAGTCGCCTGATGCAGCTTACAGGTTTAGATGGCCGAAATATAACCACAGATTTTTAGATTTTGTCAACTACAAACATCGAACTTGCACTCACCTCAACAGCGGTATGAAAAAGGAAGGAGGAAGAGCCCACGGTTGCCCGACGACTATCGTTTGCGAACCTAAATTGGCCGCATAGCCGGCTAAAGCAAAGTTGCGTAGCCAGAATAACTAGCAGCCGACGTTTGCTGCTGAAAGCGTCCGCTGAGAGCTGAGTGCGTAATGTCCGAAATAAACTCGCAAACTCATTGATTCTATGTTCCGTAACTGCGTGGCTCATTTCGTGAGCAAAAACGACCTGAAGTTGTCGCAACATTTCGCAGTGGCATCGCAAGATCTTCATAGGGTATGCATACGCTGTAAAAGTGTCTGCAATTTATTCGAAATAAACTATATAGATTGAATATAACAAGATTTGGGAGTTTCCGAGGAGCCAATTTTCATAAGCCAATCATTGAAATTTGTGACATCACACTAACGGAGGCGCGAAATTTTAAAATCAAACTTTGACCACTTTTTGTTTGTAGAGAATTAGCATTAAATTGTCCCTCCAAGATGTAGATAACAGACGGCCCGAACATTTTACGACATGCAGAGTTACTTACTTCACAGTAAAAATGCTGCGCGGTGGCTAATGTCCGGTTATCTTCCGCGGGCTGCTATGGTAGGTAGGCTCGTCACTTTTGTAATATTTTTATTGTTCAGGTTCTCTACCTTCATAACGCAAAAGTCACGCGCGTGTTAGCGCGCCTTTATGACGCTTTATAATGATGCCTCTAAGAAACTATTATTATTATTATTACATATTTATATGCAAATATATAATGGGGTCTGTTTATATGAAGTTACACATGCATATTCGCAATAAGGACGCACTTGCGTGATGTGTAGATGCCAGGAGCGTCGCTAAACATTTCTAGGGGTGCTCTGAACGTTCCTATGCATGTTCGTGCGCATTTGCATATATGTGTGCGTGAATATACACGCATTCAAAATGTAAAAATTTTGCGCATGGGCGGGAGGCGGGCAGTTTGAGCCTCTAAAACCACGTGCATAACTGGCTACGCCTCTGATAGATACCGACTACGATTCAGGATAATTAAATACGATCTTTATTGTGGTAAAACAAGACGGCAGTTGAATGACAGCGCGTTGTTCACACGCGAATAAAATTACGTCGCTCGCATTGTTCATATCGCCTAAGCGCTGCAGCTGGGGATGATGCAGTGGTAGTCCCGCTAGCAAAATGGCTATTTCGCTTCTTTTCAAGTTCGGCGCGAACCAGCCACACCAGACCACCTAGCAGCAGCTAGTACAAGGGTGGCAATGAGGATCCCGCAGGCGACCAGCTGCCGATTGTTCCATGCTTCCTTCTGCGTGATGCGTTGAATCACCACAGTCGACCTGGTCGGGGAAGGCGAGTTGATTGCCGAGTGCACGATGGACTCCACGGCCGGCTCCACCCCTATCCACCTGCCCTTGCGCCGAGGCTTTGGTTTAGGCTGGATCCATGATGATTGCGTTGCCCGAGCAATTGGTGCTGATCAAACCACCATGTTTCGTCCGGGATGACGCCATGTGCTGCGTCTGTTGAGAACAGTAGCGAGACTCTTCTCCTTGAGCTGGTTGTGCTGCAGCAGTTGCATGGTGTCCCGATGAGCGGTGCACATCCGCGGCTGCATGGTGCCCTGATGAGTTGTGCACGTTCCCCTTTTCTGTAGCTTCATGCACTGCTGCTGCGGTTTTTGCACGATCGAGTGGTTGCTGCATGGTCGCGATAGATATCTGTGTACAACGACACAATTACAGCTGCGCGTTAACCTTGCCAGTCTTGTCTTGTCTTGTCTCCTAGGAGATCTTGGTTCATACCCACATGGGGGATTGTCCACGCTGTACCTCATAATAAATCATTTTTTACAACGCTTACTAAAAAATAAAGAGAAATTAGATAGGAACAAGTCCATGCCAGAGTTCTTCTTCTTCCTCTTTAACTTGTGCCATACACCGACATAGCTTGGGTGACAGCAGGCCCGTAGCCAGGAATTCTTTTTTTTTAATTTTCTTTCGAGGGTTGGGGAGGTGTGGGGTGGAGGGAGCCTTTGTTGAAGCTCAGTCTTGAAAAACACCTATTTTTATTATTGTTCCTCGGTAAGCCCCTTACGTCCAAATTTAGGGAAGAGGGGAGGGAAGCTAGGGCAGCTCCTTTTGGCAACTGGACCTGGGTGACAGACTAGCTGTATTACACACGCGCTGGTTGAAAGTCTACACGACTTGTTCTTCATATAAGCGGCTGGATGTCCAGAAAAAAAAAAAAAAACGTTGCAACACACACGCGATGCAACACAAACACTTTTCACATTTATGACGCGTCTTGACTGGAATTTTGACACACCGCGAAAGCTATTCTACGGACAAAAATCAACTTCGGGTGTACTTAGCCGTGAGCTGCTCACCCGTCGCAAGATTTTCGTAGAACGCATTACCGAAAAAATTATTCGGGACGCCTTTTTTCCGCTCAAAATTGAGTAACTTCTTTTCAGGATGTTTTAACGTACTAAAATCTTAAATTAATGACTCATCGCTTCGTAGCGAGATCGTTATGACAAAATATTTGCCTCAACATTTTGAAAGCCGCGCACTCCCAACTTTTTGTACCAACGCCGCCATTTCGACTATTTAGAAGTGCAAAAACACGCGTTCGAACTAATTACAAGCTGTCGCAGCGTACAACTAGAGTGCTCTTAGTACAACCACAGCCCTGTACCACCGCATTAACCATTCCCCGGCTCACAGTTTCACGTAATTTGACGAGATCGGAAGGACAAGAGTTGTCAACACTGTTCGGGGGCGGCTGCCTGTTGCGTTGTAGATGGAGCGCTTGTCTGTGCCGTAACCTTGTGGGATGGCCAAGGGATGGCGAACTTCGGTATTCATCGCTTGCAAATTAGCGATAGCGACGACAGCGACCGCAACATTCTCGTGAGAGCTGACAGATTCGCATCGTACGAGAGCACGGAGCGCATCGATGCCACCACTTCTTGGGCCACTGCTTCCCGTAAGAGATGCGAGCGTCCGCTACACTTGTAGCAGACGCGCTTTTTTGGCCTCGTTTCTTCGTGCTTTGTAGTAGTTTTTCGCAATCGCGCGTTTATGAAAGACTGAGCGGCCCATAAATACTCTCTGCGGAGCCTCTTTGTACGCTGCATGTGCAGCTGCTGTGTGCTCTGCGTGCGACGTCACGAAACCGCCGCTGCAAGATCGAGTTTTCGCGTTGATCGCCGTATAGTTTCCTGCTTCCCGATCGCGTATTCAGTGTAAGCTAGCTTTGCGCCTTTGTGGCGCAGCAGTTTGCGCTGCGCTGTCGCCAAATTCAACAACTGTCATTATATCTGTGTGTTCGTAATTGTGTGCGTGATTTCATGAACTTAAATTTCGCTTAATTAGGCTGGAGCGATCACCATGCAGTCAATCTAAGTTATGAACTGTAGCCATTTCGTTCTTCTGAATTCTTACAGTGCATATATTAGTTTATTATAAAGCCCTGCGATTCTGCTTGAAACGACGTTGCTAAATTTTCTTGTGCGTCGATAGCGGCTGCGCGTACGTGACGTCACGCGCGACCTCCTTGGCGCGCGGCACGTACTAGACTGGTCAAAAGTTTCCAGGCCACTATCCCATGTATTCCTATATGGCAGCCTGTGAACTCTTTATCGCTCCCCCGTACATGCCTTTATATATATATATATATATATATATATATATATATATATATATATATATATATATATATATATATATATATATATATATATATATATATATATATATATATATATATATATATATATAACTCATCCCCTATATATATAACTCATCATATATATCCATATATCATATCATCATCATATATATCATATCATATATCCCCTATATATATAACTCATCATATATATATATATATATATATATATATATATATATATATATATATATATATATATATATATATATATATATATATATATATATATATATATATATATATATAACTCATCCCCTGATGAAGGGAGGACCCCTCCCGAAACTGTTGGGAAATAAATATATTTATCCTTGTTGACAACGCTCCCGTTGTGCCATATCTCATATATATATATATATATATGTAAAAGCAATGGTACCGTGCTGACTTTTTAAAACATGCTTAATATTATTTCTCACACAATGTAGGTATTCATTAAGGCCTAGATTAGAACATACATGCTCAACACTGATTTATAGCTCGATATTTAATGAAACAAATGTCCATTATTATTTACACACTGGTTAATGATAATGGGATAAAATAGAAGACAGATGTGTGTTCAGGACAAAAAGTGGATAAGTATAGCACTCAAAATGTACAGCTAATTAGGGGGTCCCCCATGCAACTGCCAACAAGTCAAAAACAGCTCTGCTGTCAACAGTGTAAATGCAAGAGCGATAGCATGCCATAAATGCACATATCGTAGCCAGTAAGCCATCATGGCTGCTGTACCTGCTTTCACTGCATGACAGGTGTGGCATATGTGGTGCCACGTGTGGCTTAAATTCCCCTACATGTGAAAATTATAGAGGACTGTAGAGGAATGTGTCACATTTTCAGTAACATATTACATGCATTGAGGTTAGTTTCTTTGCAACAAAACTAAAATTGGTAGGATATGTTGCTTTGTAGATATTCAGCTTAATTTCAAGTTTTTCATGTTATGCATGTACCTTATGGAGGGAGAGAGAAAGATAACATTATTAAAGATAAACAAACACCAGTACAGGTCCACTAAATAAAGAAAAGGGGGCTCAGCTGCGGTGGTCTAGTGGCTAAGGTACTCAGCTGCTGACCTGCAGGTTGTGGGATCGAATTCCGGCTGCGGCGGCTGCATTTTGGAGGTGGAAATGCTGTAGGCCCGTGTGCTCATATTTGGGCGCACGTTAAAGAACCACAGGAGGTCGAAATTTCCGGAGTCCTCCGCAACGGCGCCTCTTATAATCATATGGTGGTTTTAGATGTTAAACCTTACTTAAAAAAAAGGGGGAAGGGGGGTGGGCTAGTCATCGCATGATGCGAGCTGACAATGCCTTGTACATATATTTTTAATGAATAGTAGGCTTGCAGGCTGCCTGAAACTCTTTGCTCCTATTTTTGTGTTAAATTTGAGAATGCATGCATCCTTTTCAGATGCCGACATCCCGTTAGATCTCACCAACTCCGTGGAAACCAGTCATTCGGGGCACACTGAACTAAGTTTCCCCAGTGGTGAGATACAGGGGGAACGGCTGGCAAAGTGCTGGCAGTCAAACTACCACGAGGCGGCAATATTTCTGGAGGTATCGTAGATTTCTTTATTCGAGACGCTGGCATTTTGAGTTCTCGCCGTCACTGAAGCAAAGTGTGTGACATGTATTCGGGAACTGCATTATATCGCTTCGAGCTGTGCAGAGAACACAGAATTTTCGCAAGCATTCCTTAGAATGTTTCTAAAGAAAACCATGTGCAATGGCAAAGCTACTTATTATATAACTCTTCTCTTGGTTATGCATGTGCAATGCATAATGCCAGAATTTGTGCGAATACCCGAGTGGGCTCCATGGCCACCGCTCAATTGCGAGGCAGCACCATGATAATATTGTATGCTTCTATGCATGTTTGCAGAATGACAACACATTCATGTTAGGTAGTTGTGCAGGCCTACACATGGCTCTGTAATCAGAATGCTATCTGATACCATGTCATTATTGATAGGCTCAGTGATATTTAAACAATGGATATGTATAACAATTGAATATTTTATGAAGTAGTAGTGGATAATATTTAAGGCTATGTAAGGGCATGCAGAACTCAAAGCTAAATATTCTAAAATTCTGATATGCACGCTGTGTTGTTGTTCTTGTGTGGGCACAAATGGACACAAAAAGATATACATCTAAATAAATGAAATTAATGTCTGAATTGTTTTCTTCCTATATTCAAAATTTCAGAGTACCTCATGCAAAGCTGGGCAACATGAAATAATTTCAATTAATACAGCAGTACTAATCAAAGATGATGTGACAAGTTAGAAGGTGAAACTTCTAACTTGTCAAATTCATAGCGGGGGCCTCATTCTGGCAGACTTGGTGCCTTTAGGTAGTATACGAGAGATTATTGGTCAGCTTACAGCTCGTAATAAGATCACGTGCTACGTGACGCCAATACAGGCAGAAAAAGTGTGCCGCACTCGCCGTTATGGCTACAGGAGGCGCTGACTGACGCTCCCACGTTTAATTCACATGTATACTAAATAAAGTGGATGGGGGATGGCCACCGTAGCAGCTCAGTCAGTAAAGCATCGAACACATTATTCAAAGGTCGTGGGTTTGGTCCCTGCCCACGGCAAGTAATCCTTTCATCCGCTTTTATTTCTGCAAATTTACATTAAAATTATCTCATATAACATTCCCTATACTTTCCTTGGCATGATTGTTAGATATAATTTAATATTGTGTTTAACAAAAGAAAACGAGCCCTTAAGTGTGCACTTCTTTCCTTCATTCATAGCTGAACTAATGCAAGCTAAACTACAAGCAGAGGACAAATTACAGCACCTCACACATAATTATCCAGAAATGCTATGTCGTCGCTGCATAGTTGTTGAAAAGTGATGGTGTTGGACAAACTTGCTACAGCAACCGAAACTTCATGCCTAGGAGTGAGAAACATTGAAAAGTCACATGCACTGACGGTCGTGGGGAAGCAAAACCATTCCTGTTCGAATATCTTGTCATTTTGTCTGCAACAATTTCATGAGACTACCCCATTTTCGACTGATCACTCGTGTGCAATGTGCAGGAAGGAGAAAACAATGACAAGCTCGACTTCCACCCGTGCAGCCGCGAAGCACTACCAGCCTACCTGGTCGTCCATAATGTGCTCTTCTACTGCCTCGACCTGCTTTCAGCCACTGTGCTTATGGCACTGGCCCTTATGGAGGCCCCTGCTGTACCAGGCCTCAGTGTTCCTGTGGCTGTGAGCACGTTTTCCTAAGTATGAGATTTGCGGATGAGCTGCGGCTGTCATGGCTTGCAGTTGGGGAAGACCAAAAAGTCATTCCATATTTTAGTACCAAACACAGCACTTTAAAACGTACCATGCCAAATTGCTGTTCACTTGTTATGATGCACGGACACCCGGAATAAAACACGTGGCGTGCCACTAGCTAGATAGAGAGTGTAATAATTGCTGAGGTTTTACACCCCAAAACCACAATATGGTTATGAGAGACAATGTAGTGGAGGACTGAAAATTTCAATTACCTGCACTTCATTAACGTGCACCTAAATCTTATCTTCAGCATTTTGCCTTCAGCATTGTAGTCGGGATTCAATAATGTGACCTTATGGTCAACAGTCAAAAACCATACCAAATAGACCACAGCGGTGGGTAGGGAGGGAGTGAAAAAAAACATTGTGCTTTAGAAATCATAGATGATTTTTCGACATGGGCGAGAAGCCAAAAGACTCCAAGAAAGCGAGTGGCGATAATATAGGAATGACGCGTACGAAGACTTAAATTTGTTGCAGATAGGATGCGTAGGTATATTTGACTGTTTCATTTGGAATTCCACAGAAAACAGAGATGTTAGTCGGCGCATCTGCAGCTCCAGCACATCACTTGCAAAGATGATCGTGGTTAATCGGTGCCATTCCATTGCCTTTGTCACTGCCATAAAAAGAAATGTCGTCATCCATCTTGTTGTTTTCTGCTGGGTCCTTCATGTTTACCAAAATCTCAAACTAAACATGAATAAGATAATGAATAACTTATGCTGCATTCACAGTTTATGATATTAAAAATAACAATTGGGTTAGCGAATAATGATAGTGAAGCAAGCTTGGAAGCAGGGCTGAATACTACAACAGCAGCACATGTCACTATAGTGCTCTTGTGTGAAAAATGTAAAACCTGCATTGTCTGTTTACTTGTTTACAATTAACATTCTCACTGAAGATACTATTTACTTGTAATACATGTTCAGTTCACACCTTTCAGATACGTTGCAAACACAAGGTAATTTAAGAAATATTGATTATTGCATGCTGTTAGTCATCATAGGGATCGTATATCTGTCTGTATAGTCTCACATGACATCTGAATGAAACATATTTTGCACCTATTTACATTATGCCATTTGTGTGTGATGAATTCAGCACACTTAAGCAATGAGTACAGTAACTATCACACCACGTAATAAGAAGGTTTGACCACTGCATGAAATTGTGCTAAAAGTATGCTTACGTCATTATGGTTCCCGTTATGTTAGCCATTATAATGGCTGCTTTCTTAAGAGCTGAATTCTGGCATTGTAGTGTCTACTGTGTGATGTATATAGATCATATTAGCTGTTGACGTATCACCTGTTTTGAGTTTAACACAACATAGTTCTTAATCTTTTTTTTTTTTTGTCATTTTCAGCTTCATGTTTCCGTTGAACTACTGGCCCTCTCAGTAGTTGCTGTTGAACTGTGCATGAAACTTCGATGGATGGGGCTCAAACCGTTCTTTACTCACAAGAGAACTGTCTTTAAAGTAAGTATGCTTGTTTTTTGTTTCTTTGTTTCGTTCGATTTTCGGAAACTTCTTATGCTCATCATCTTTGTTTTATTTTAATTGTTTTTTTCGCTTCAGCTGTCGATCCTGCTGTTAATGCTCATAGAGGCACTTGTGGTTGCTGCTCGGCAGGCCACACACTTTCGCATCCTCCGTGCCCTCAGGCCCATCTTTCTAATCGACAACCACTACTTGGGCGGCGTTCGGAGGTACTGAGCATGACCATTCTTGACGCACTTCTTGCAAATGTATGCTTGTTTTTTTCTTCTGATTATTGCTATGATGTAGTTTCTCTACCCTTAGACACAGAATACAATAAGGTCTTTTGACGCCAATTGGTTTTGACTCAACTGATAATTAGCAGTCTACTCATGTCCACAACAAGCAAAATAAAAAGTTGAAATACTGTGTCGCTGTACTTCCCACTGGGCTGAAATAAGGAATGTAAGTTTGCTTCTCTAATAGTGGCATCAACAGGGATTACCAACAGGCATTACCAATGTTCACTCAGGGGCTGCATTTATACACTCTCAACCTCTCAACTTCTCTCTCTCTGCATGTTCACAGTGTATATGCAGTGTGCACACATTTCTTGTTCTTGTTTTTATCGCTATATTCTTTTCACTTACATTCTGCCAAAATTTGCATAAATTTCAGAACATTCATGGTACACATTTCAAATATTTTCTTCACCTGGGCTGTTGTGTCACCCTAAGCGTTGATCTTCAGGATTTCAATAAAGTTTACCATACGATACCATACCTAGGCTGTTATGTCGATGAAGAGTATGGTCACTGAGCACCCAGTAAAGATAACCTTTGGTTTACATTATGTTTCAACTTGAATAACTCATCATAACAGTTATAACTGGTTTGCTTTTTCTTTCATATCATGCAGATTGACTCGACAGATCCTGCAGTCTCTTCCACCTGTGTTTGATATGTTGGTCATATTGTTTTTCTTCATGACTGTGTTTGCCATTCTAGGTGAGTGCGGCTCTCGTGTTGTGTTCCAGCTACAAGTTTTCTTGCGATCAGGCAAGCTTGTACACTGTGCTCTCTCATACCACAACCCAGCTGAGTAAATACAAGAGCGGAAAGAACTTACTGCAGCTGTGGATTAGACCTTGATTTGTAAGAGCCGTCAGTCTTGACCATGTCTAGCTATACATCTATAGCTCTGTTATAAAGCTCCAAGGTTGTTTGTAAAGGACAGTTAACTCCCATTAATTTTACCTTAGGTAATTCAACTTGTTGCCTAATTATATAGCACCATAAGCTATTCAACTCAGGAATTCGGGCCAGTTGGTGGTAGCTGAACTATAGGTGCCAGCCCCCATCCTGTTTGCGTGTTCTCTTTCTTCCGAGTTTGTCCCCTTGTGCTTTACCATAAGTTAACCATAAGCTTTTTCATATATGTTGCCTGACCTGCAACAGACATTGTGAATAGATGGCTAGAGGTTTTATAAATGATGCCTTGAGTGTGCCTAGTGTTATGCAAAATAGGTTGCCCTCTGTGCCTATCAGCTTTCATAATTGGTATCTCAGTTTCAGTAATGCTAGTTGCAAAACAGTTCAGCCATCTTGTAGAGCAACAGGCAAATGGAAAATCCTGCCTATGGCATTCTACGTATCAGCTTATCGCAAAAGCATAGCTTACTTTTTTTCTCTCTTCAGTCCTATCATATCATGTGTGTGTATTAAACCTGACTTTTTATTGCAGGATATCACATCTTCTCATTTGTTGACAACCAGCCCGTAAGTATATCTTGAGCGTGTGGTTTATATAGAAGATTTGTTAATGAGAAATGCTTCATTTTGCTTGCAGTACTTCAGTACACTCTATGACAGCCTCGTGAATCTCTTTGTACTGTTGACAACATCCAAGTGAGTACTGTCTTTTTACTGTGCACAATCGTGGTTTTTCTTTGTCTTTGCAGTAATTTTGCATAATTAAATGTTGGTGTGTTTTGGTACATAATAAAGCATTGGCATTTATGCGTTAATCACTCATTTGAGCTAGTATATTTATAAACCTGATTCTCAAATAGTAAGCTGTGTTAGCAGCAATTGCAAAGAAAAACAATGTAAATGTGCGATACAAAAAGCAGGAATTTTTACATACTTGACAGATGTGTTGTAAATGTTGCGTCACTGCATATATGGTTTGTTATTTAACTTACACTTGCACGTGCAATTCCCTATAGTTTACAGGTCGAGAGACACAAGAGATTAGAAAGAAGCTGCCCCATCTGCTGTGTTGAGTGTTAGACAAAAATGTCACATGCATCATGCCATGACTGCCTCTGATCACAGTTTCTCTTTCCTTAGCTTCCCTGATGTGATGATACCGTACTACGCCAACTCCAAATGGGCTGCGCTGTTTTTTGTTGTGTTTCTGCTCGTCCACCTCTACTTCCTGATGAATTTGGTGAGTGATGCGTAGTAATAGAGCTGGCATTTATCACGTTTATTGCTATTATAAACTGAGGACTAGCAATTCTCTAACTACTACAAGCACTTGCTGCTATCACAGCATTCTGGCACATGAACACTTGCCGCTCCTCAACATCAAAAATATGAGGAGGACAGTAGTGCTTAACAGGTCTTAATGAGCTCTTCCAGCAAACTGTGAATGTTGGCCACGCTGTCGACATAATAATCCGCCTTGGAGGGGACCCTGCCCACACGAATTGACAGACCCTTGCACACATTGAACATGTCTTCATCGGTCACATCGTCACCGGCACACATTGCGGGATTGACTTGGAGACAGGGCACATCCTTGCTCACGGAGCGCACGTCTACTATCCCCTTGCCTCGATCACTGCATCGCCCACGTGATGCCGGAGTCTCGTGACCATCTCTCTCGGGTTGAAGCTCTCAACGCAATGGTAGTGTAATGCTAGAGCGGTGCTTTTGATCTCCAATACCATGTCCGGCCACGCCTTTTTGTATTCCTCCATAATTGCAATGCAGTCCGTCAAGTCCAGTGGCTCTCCTTCCCTCTTCCACGAACCGTCCCTCCTGCAGTAAGCACCGTGCTCGGCAAAAGATTTCTATCTCAGCAGGAAACCAGCCGTCGACCTGCTCCTTTTGCCTGCCAGTGCATATCACAGCCTTAGCCGTTTTGTTGAACCTGATCAACAGGTCGATAAGCTGACCGTTGGGACGTGCATGGTGAGGTATCTTTTGGACCGGATTGAGCGTTCCATCGTAGTCCAGCATGAAAATCTTGTTTGATTTTAGCCAGTGCTCTTTTACCTTGGCAATGTCGAGCGGTGGCAAGTCATCTCTGATCACCTTGGCCTTCTTCATTGGAGTAACGCTGCACACGAATGAGGAAAATGAACTAAACCAGAGCCCCACTGCAACAATGTTTTTTCAAGACTCCTGAGAAAGATAAACATAGTAGTAAAAAATTTGATGGCAATACAGGTAGGAACGGCATGTGGGCAGTACAAATTTAGCAACATTACAATTAGTGAAAAATAACAGTGAGAAGTATGTTATGAGCACTGGTTACCTTCACTTTGCTCTCATTGTTTCTAAATGAAAAATAAGAAAGATAAGTGCTTTACTGTGCTGTACAAGGATGATAATCTATCTCAATCTTTAGTTGTCATCTACCATTACTAGATTGGGTAGAGAGAAACATTTCAAAAGAGGTAACATTTGAAGCTAGCACTATCTCTGTTTTTTAGTTGTCACAGCTCGTTTAAAGCTTTGCTAATTAATGTGGTAATTTTCCTCACCATTTAGTCTGCCCTAATTACTATTTTTTTACTTGCTCTCCAGCATGTCTTTTTATGTGCACCATAAATATTTATGGCCTGTTGAATTATCATTCAGCTACCACAGTAACCACAGATCATTGGATAATTATGACTCTATCACCTTTTACAAAAAGAAACTCAGGTATTGGTACTTCGACGAGTAATTTGCCCTCCAGTTACTTTTTGTTAGAGGAGCAGTTGTTTGCGCCTGTTCTTGCATGAAACCTATAGCGATAGCCAATTTTCAATAAAGACATCGATCATAAGATCAAGCTACAGACTGAGAACATTTCAGCAATGAGCATAAGCTTTTCACCGAGCTGTTAGCAGGTGCATTTCGCAAAGAAGTAATTGGTGTAATCACTGTTTCGATACACGGAATAATGGAGGAAACTAAAAGCCGAGCTTCGTTGATGGTGGGAATCACCGTGCACATCGGAAACGCAGGTGTTGGCGGTAGTGTACGAGCGTTTCTCATCCCTGGAGAAGGACAAGTTCCGCAAGCTGCTGCTTCATCGCAGGAAAGCCTGCCACCAGGCCTTTCGCCTGCTCGTTAATCGGTCCTCCCCGTCGTGCCTCTACTTCTGCCACTTTGAGGGACTCATGAAGTACTACAAGCCACGTGCGAGTGAGCTCACTGTCCAGCTGCCTTCTTCGCCTATTTTATCAATTCACTGGTGTTAAAAGACTGACCACACGTGAAATTTTATAGAGAAGTACTGTATTCGCCAGAAAATTGTATCCGAGCACACTGGAAATGCAGTATGCAACTAAATTGAGGTATTTACTTTCATCGTAGTTGCATGCAGACAGATTGCTACATACACTGAAACCTCATTTTAACATAGTTGCATCTTACACAAACAAGAGATTGTTATGTTTAAAAATTTGTTATAAAGGTATACTCCTAAATCTATATATATTTTACTAGACCATTCTTCATTTAGTTCGTTGTAATCGATATTTCGTTATATCCAGGTTAGTTATATTGAGGTTTGAGTATAATATGTGTCTCAGTTAAATATTTTTCTCAACAGTGAAATGAAAGAATAAAAAATAATTGAATAACGGTAATTTTTTACAGCCGCATACAGCCAGCAAATAAAGAGTGCAAAGAAACGAGATAAAGCAAACCGCCATAAATTACGACATGAAATTACAAGTAAAAAAAGCGAACACAGTCTGAACTGGCTGGCAGCTTCTTATCTGATTTGTGGCTGTAGCATTGCACAGCTATATCTGAGAATGAGAGTCCAGTGCTTGTCTGCAGCAGCCCCATTTGAATGAGCAAAAATGCCTGCTTGTATAGTTTCAAGGACTGCAGGTGGTTGAAAGTAATCGATAGTCCCCAACTACAGCATGCCCAGTAATGAGACCATGGTTTTCTCACAGAAATAATTTGTTTAATAATTTCAAAATAAACTATTGAAGAAGTTTTAGCTTTAAGTTTAATCTACGTTATTTACCTTGAATGCCCTGTTAGCACCTCTGTGCATTGATCGTGCCGAGGGCTGAGTGTTTTACTTCGGCTTTTAAGTGTTTTACTCTGTCTTTTCTGACACATGCTAATTAAGGTAGTACAAATGTGCAACACATTTCTCTACAGAGCGAAGAGATGTCTACCTGATGTTCAAGACCATGGACACGGCACAGAATGGATTTTTAAGCCAAGAAGAGTTCCTTCAGGTGTATGAAGCCAGCAAGCTCACGTGGGAGGTGTGTGAAGTTAGAATGATTGCCTCATATGGCTGATATAAGGGAACACAACTAATGGTGTTATTCCATTAAAGCAATGCAGATTGCTTCTTCAAGGTGCACGCTTCACAAATTGTGCAGGATCTCATGATCATTTGCTGATACCATGTGAGAATTTTAAAGCTGTCGTGCCTCCTCTGACGAAGCAGCCAGAAAAATCTCCAATGGAAATGCATTCTTGTTGTAAGAAAAAGGAAGTAGTACTTGAAAGAACATCCCTTTTGCCAGGTGTGTTTTGTTAGCAAATGTGTTATTGCAGAATTTCTTTTGCTTCACGTAAAAAAATGATAACAGATAAGTTTGGTGCCTCTGTATCGTTCCGAAGCCTCTGACTTGCTAAAGAAAGTGGCAATAGTTACATACGGAGCATGTTGCATGATATTTGTAAAAATTAATTGGTAAGTAATGTTATGTCATCTGTAATCTTGGTATATAATATTTTGAAGAGGAAATGATTACTGGAAAAGACTGCGGCTCCTTTATTGATAATTTCTTATAAGCTATTAGGAAGGTATGTCTAATGTTAACTAATTAAACCTGAGGCATACTCTGCAACAAAGATTCCCTTATGCTGAGTATTATGTTTCTCTCTTTTAGCGGAAATGGTCGGACTACCCTTGGTTCAATGAGCTGAAAAGACCATTTGAGAGAAAACTTTTTGAAGGTACGGCAGCTGCACCTTTGTTACGCGTAGTTCAATCCAATTCAGAAGTGTGCTTCAGTGAAACACTGGACGCAATTCATTTTGATGCCCTTGCTAACTGGTCAAGCATGGTCGTGTCACATTCCATTTCAGCTAGCGCTAATTTGATTGATTAAATATAGCCTTGCCAATCTTTTCAGTATTTGAGTGGTAACCTTTTGCTCTGTTTCTTTCATTATTCATATCGTTGAAGGTGCCTACAAAGTGATAACTTGGAAATGGAGCAATGTTATCATATGTAAGTATGATGTCCAAGATCTGGCCGGTTTCTTATGCGAGTGAAAAAACGTTTGCCGATTGCAATATTGTCGTGTAACTGTCTGTGCTGTAATCTTCCTGCCTTTTTCTAAACAGGGACCTAAGCTTGTTCCTGTTGCTCTTATTTTCCTGCGCTTCCTTTGAATCTTTCCTGCCACTGCCCAAGTCTTGCTTGTGAGTTTTGTCTTTCATTTCTCTATGCACTCTATACTCATATAGGCGTTGTACTTCGTTTCTCAGACTTCAACTCACTAAGCTTGTTGCCCATTTGTTTCGGGGTATGCTGTTCTGAGCGATCCGTTTTTTCGGGGTTGTTATTGATCTAAGTCTGACCTAAGTCGACAGTAAATTTCCTCTAGCTCAGCTAACCCAAACCTCGATATAACGAATTTTGGATATACCAAAATATTGGCTATAACGAAGTAAATTAAGAAGAATCTGAAGTGGCCAGAACTTTGTCATTGTGACAAAAGACAACTTGATGAAAAAATAAACACATTTTGGAGTTGTGTGCCTTTATGCAGCATCTGCTTCTGAATTTTCCCAGTCAGCATGCACTGAACCCAGTATCCCCGAGTGCATTTTATTAAGAACTTTGTTTCAATTGCAAGTACTCAATAGTTGACACAGCTCAAAAGAGTTACAACATAGTGAGAATGCAAATTGGGATGGGCCACATATTCAGCCGTCTTAGCTGTGGTGGGTCGATTTTGCATGTAAAGAGCAGTTTAGAGTGAATGCGTGCAAGAGCTCTTTAACCCTTCGCGGTCCAAAACTTTTACCCATTTTCCGCCTCTTCCTGTTTGAAACTATTTCGCCAGTTGCTGGCATCACAAAGAGTAACACAAACTGTGGAAGAAAAACTGACCGGATATTCATTTTCGCTCCTGCATTCAGCACGCAACTCCTTTAGCGATATTTGAGCAGTGTATGATACCACTCAAAGCATTCTCTGGGTACAGGCTGGGGTTGTTACTTCAGGTTTTGCAAAAGAACAAAGGTGTTTTCTCCACTGCCATTGTCGTCACTCATTTCTGTCGGATCACTGTCATCAATGTCTGGTGGAGGCCCATAATTCTCTCCCTCAATAAAGTCGTCCTCGCTTTTGCTAAAAGCACCGTAAATCGTACGCGCTAAGAGCGTGACTATGCTTTTCAGCAAACCACGCCCGAGTGGGTACGCTCTAGGCTCTGTGCTGAACATAGTGAAGCACCCTACTGTAAAGACAAGTAAACTCCAACAAAGTAAACTCCCTTATTTTTCAAGAGATGGAACTTCATGCATTTTACAAATACCTGCAATTTCCAGTGAAAAAACCGTGACATATAAACCACAAACATTCTTGTCGGGTGGTGCCCAACAGCGGACCGCTGAGGCCGTGTTGCGTTGTTGGGCGCTAACCGACAACGGACCGCAAAAGGTCAAAGTATGTATGCTCTAGTAACTATTGTTTTGTTGAAGCTTCCTGCATAGAATATTTTACTTAAGACATGTGGGCGCTGCCATTTTGGGCAGTCAAGCCAACGTCTTCCCGTTCTTGTACATTGCAACGTAAATCAATGACAATCAATGACATCATGAAACGTCGGATGCACCAGTCAAACTGTTTTCATGTGTATGCGCCTATGTAACACTGTGCGTTTAGTTCTTAACGATACAAAACACAATGGTTAACGGCCAATACGGAGGCACTCAAGTTAATCAGTAAATTAGTTGATTGGAAGAAAGATAGGTGGACCATCTGTGGCTCAACACAATTATCTCTCTTTTTCATTTTCAGACCTTGTGATTGCAACAAGCTTTCTGTGGCACATAGTGGAAATCACGCAGTTCACAGGCAAGGCTAAAAGTGCTTTAATTTTATTGCAAACTCGCGTTAACTGAACACTGCCACAAAATTGGTTTTGTTGCGGCAAAAAGAAATTCTTTTGTGAAACCATAGCGCATTTCCTGTCTGCACAGGTGACTCCTCATCAATCATAGGGGATGGAAAGACTGGACTTTCAGCATGGATTCTAGTTGGGCTGCTCGTATGTGAGTGTGAACTTCTCGTTGTGCACATAGGCTTTAATTTTTTTCCTTAGCTGGGACAAAACAGCGTACCACTAGAAAAGTTTTGCAATATCTTTGCTTTCTTTTTGATTCTTCACAGTTTACCTCGCCGAGATGCTTTTGAAGATAGCAGCCTTTGGGGTGGCCGACTACTTCCACCAGGGCTGGAACAAGTGAGTGGTGTGGTTATTTGTGTAGGAATTGCATCTTTTCATCACGTCGCAAAAGTCTCCAAAGGTGAATTAGAGCAGTAAATTTGACACATTTGATAGAGTTCAAAGCAAAGTAGTTTTTCATACTGTAGCTTGCATATTATAGCTGTTTATACAAAATTCCTAAACTTCAGCTTGTCTCTCATAATTATGCAATGTCTCTAATACAGTGTCAGTCTGTGTCGTCATATGTTCCTTGACCCTCTTCCTGTTTGCTTCTTTTCGAAGATGAACATTTTGCCTTTTGTATACTACATGAACTGCTTTCTGTTTCACCCCATTTTAACACAAATGTAGAATTTTAGCGGTTACAGACTTTGGTGAATGTGCGACTGGAAGCGGACCTGTCACACAGTGCAGTGTCCTGCTGATGTGGTTTTTAAATGCATATTGAAAAGTGTGTAATTACAGCGGAAATATGTGGAAAGTGTAGTTAAATCTGGTGTTTGTGAATCTCATGACTTATTAGCACTGCATGCAGCTATGGGGCGTTCTTGCAAAAAGTCGATCGTTTTTTTTAAGCAAAGTTTTACTTAGGTTAAGTTGTCCGATGCATGGGGGCACAACAGTCACAGCGCAACGAGTTGGCGTGGAAGGCACGTGTTTATAGAACACAGTGCGCACATGAAACATGAGCACACATGCTACAATCACACCAGGTGACACCTTTGCATGAAACGCCGGCACTTCTCAAGTACACGGAATACAACACGCACATTGCACAAAATAACTAGGTCAAACACAATCGGCTCACGCCCACAGTGAGCGACATGTCCTTGCGGAAGTGTTTGTGGGCAGTTTTGTTGGAACACAAATCTGAGTGAGTGAATATGATTAAAGAAACTTGGGCAGATGTTTAAAGCAGAAAGCCAAAGGACAACATCAATCAACAACGTTTTTGCAAACACCTCAGAAACATCACATTCGCATGGCTTTGACATGTGTATCGCACCTACCAAATTTTTTTAAAAGATGGGATCATATCGTCCATATGAGCCAATGATTTCACATCATTTTAACATCCCTAACTAGCTATGCTGTACAGTTTCGTTTTCTTACTGGCCTCTTGTTACTTTTTCTTTTAGGTTTGACTTTGTGGTCATTGCAGCTGCTGTTGTGTTTGGGTCTATAGGAGCCTTCCTGGACGCCAACCTGCTCAGAATACTCATTTTTCGATCACTGCGTCTTCTCAAGTGAGCTTCCAATGATTTTCTACCTACAATAATGCCACGTTTGACAGCAAGGACAGTGTTCATAACTTGATGCTTAATTTTGCTTTCTGAATTTTTTAAGTTATGAGCTACGCTGCGTGGTACCTAATGACAATAACATGCTGACAATGCTGGGCAAAAATGTATTGCACTGTCAGAACTTCTGTCAAACAGGTGGTACAAGGATTTCATTAAAAGTGCATAGTTTTCTATTTCATATTATATAATATACTACTTCAATTAAAAGCTTATTACAATGACATTTAAATTTACAGAGCCTTCCACTATAGCGTTTCTTGTAATCATCGTGGTTTTGGGACATAAAACCCCAGATATTATATATTACAATGGCATTTCTGTGACGCAGGTTTTTCTGAAGTTACAATTGATGCTTTGCAGGTTGTTTCAGTTGAAGAAGAGCTACCACGACGTCTTAGGCACAGTGTTCATCCTGATGCCTCGATTCGCCAGCGTTGGTGTCGTCCTCATTATTGTCTACTACTTCTTCGCCATCATTGGAATCGAAGTTTTTTCACAGTACGTCATGGAGGACTGTTGCAAGTAAGCACGCTCATTGCACTGACACGTTTATTTACGTGTTCATTAGTGTGCAAATGTAGGTTACCCCCCAAGGTTACAGCCACACAAGAATAAAAAAGAATATTCTGGTTCAAATATATTTTCTTTTCTATAAAAGTGTAGAAAAGTTTAGAAAATTTAGACACCATCGTACTCTATGCTCGTCTTCTTATAACCTGTCACAGATTCAATGAACAGAAAAAGGGCTGTAAACACTGTTACGGTGAGGACAGCTGGCTTTGCCTAGTTGTACACTTTGTAACAAGCACTGCAGGCAGCTTATATTTGATCATAGTTGTTAGTCAGCTTTTCTCGCTCGTTATTATGCATGAATTGCACAACCTTTGGACAAGATTTGCAGATATAGAATGATATCATATATAGTGGCAGTACTAGTAATATTTTTATATTAGTTCATAACACTACCTTGTTTTTGTTTTTTACTCTAGGAACACAACAGTTGAACTCTACTTTGCCACGAATACATCATCCGGGCCGGGCTATTTCTACTTGATGAACTTTCACAACATGGCCAACAGTTATGGTATGTAACACTTGATATTGTTTTACGTTTTGCTTCAAAACAAGACAAAATGGGGCATTTAACATTCAAACGCATGATAAGGTAACTGTGTTTGCACTGGGTCAAATACCACGTTTAGCACTTGCAAGATGCCGCAGCTATTTGTATGAAATTAAGAATAAATAAAACATAGTCTTACACATCATTTTTAATTCCCTCTTTTTTGTTTCCATACAAATTTATTGTCTGTTTGAAATTGTACACACTATACATATACATAAATTTAGTTTTAAAAAAATTATGTCGTGTTTCTCTTTATTAACTCGACCATAGGGCAGTTGCACACATTGTACCCACTCAAGTACATCTAATTTGGCATAGGAGAAGATCACGTGCTTATGCAAGTAGTGCTGGCCCAAGTGTGAAGGCTGAAGGCATTTCTGCATTACTTTTACCACACCAAAAGCATTGCTAAGTGAAATGTAATGCAAAATCAAAATTATCCTTTCTTTCTCGAACCCCCCCTCCTCCCCTCACCTAAAGTGACCCTATTTGCCCTGATGGCTGTCAACAATTGGTTCATCATCATGGACGGATACGCTGCTGTCACATCCGAGTTCAGCCGCCTGTTCTTCATGTCCTTTTATCTTATCACCATGGTGGGTTGGCTATCAGTTGACTAGTAGAGTGCTTTAGCTCCTCTTCTGGTCTGTTCAGCTTGAGTGTTTGCACTTCTAGAGACTCAAGAAAACTGCATATATTAACCCTTTTGCTACTGTTGGCAAGCATAGTTATGGATAAGGAAATGACCGATGACAAAGATTCTTGTCATCAACAAAAATTGGCCCTACGTAGAACCAATGAAGACTAAGCTCATCATACTTGTGTTTCTTGATGCCAGTTGGGTGCACCTCTCCATTTTGAGCCATTTGCGTCCTAGCTTTCATTTTATTGTCATTTTTTATTTCATTGCATATTGATTCAGTGGAGCCACCTTAAAGTCTTTTTTTTTACACGATTAGCAAAATAAAAATAAAACTATTGTATTCAGAAGGAAAGCTTTACAAACCGAGGGGGCAAAAAATATTTTGGCACATTTTTCTTTTCTTACTGTAGCAAAACCGTTAACATTGCTAATGAACCTTCATCACGGTTATTGTCAGATTGAGAGCTACATAATGTGGATGCAAGCATTGCATTCTACTCAGTTTGACAAAAAGGCAGACATTATTTAATGCCCTATCTCATTGTTCCCGTCACGAGGGCTACAAGTGCGAATACTCCCTTTTTAGAAATTAGCTGATCACTACAAGAAACTTGTTGGGAAGCATGCATGAAGCAGAACGTAATTACTTTGTAAAGGCATACAGCTATGAGCAGTAATGCCATTATCTGTCTTTTTTTTTTTTTTCATACCCCGCTGCTCAGATCGTCCTTCAAATTGTTGTGGCCTTCGTGCTCGAGGCATTCATATTCAGGATACAGTACAAAATGAAGATAGGCAAAGAGAGCAAAGGTGAGTGGCAACCACCAACCAATCGCATGATTATTATCAGGCTTAGATGGCACCTCGGCTCGTTGAGTGAGCAATAGGCAGTGGTGAGGTTGTTTTGAATAACAGAGGTGCGCAACATTTTTTGACCTGCTTGTGGAGAACTGTCAGCGTAGACCATGTGGAATGCTTGCCTGCTGTAGCGTCTGGAAAATTGAGTCGAGTGACTGCATTGCAAAATGAAGAGAATTTTGAGGACTTGTTTCTTTGTTTAACACGGTGTTAGTGAAAATCAGCAGATAATGAAGCCCAGGAAAGTATAGGGGACGTTAATTGTATTGTTTTGTGAGCATATTAGTGATTGTGATATAAACGTGAAAGAAGTAAAGAGGCCTAAAGGAAACATGCCACCGGAAGGGACTGGAACTGAATCTTCAGCCTATGAATTACATGCTTGATGCTCATACCGATTGAGATACACTGGGTGGTCGTCGCCTCATTTACTTTTTGGGGTATTTACATGCACGCAAACCCTGGCAGTCTCTATCGCAAAATATTTCACACGATAGGTCGAGAGCACTGCATAACTGTTGGCTTTAGGATTGTCCACCAGAGCAGAGTGCTTCATTTACTTTTGACTCCACTGTTACGGCATAGGCAAAATACATATCCCTTACACCCTTTTTTTTTCTGTTCCTCACAGAGGACAACCTCGTGAGAGTCGAGACGACAATGTCGCGAATGGAGCTGCAGTACTGCAGCGTGCCTCCCGAGTTGTCCAGAAACCCACAGCCGCTGGTTTACGATGTGGACAGTGGTTCGCAGAAACTTGTATTTCGAGGAGTGCGCTGGAAAACGAAGTTCTCCTTCTGCCTCAAGATGTATGCCGACGAAGCAAAGGTGGATTACAAATTAACAAATTGATTATATAGTTTACTTTGAAAAGATGCCTCAATGCCATAACTAGAGGGCTCCAAGTTAATTTTTACTGCCCATGGCTTTTTAGTCCAAGCACACCTAAAGCATGATAGATGAGCATTGCGATTTCAAGCAATCATTATAATGTGCAGCCGGGCATCGAAACCATGACCTTGTGTACATCAGCACAATGCCACTAGCCACTGAGGCAGATGCATAAGCCATGAAAGATGTTTATGAAAACCCTGGATAGTTTACGACTTGTTAGTACTGTTAAACAAGTCCTAAAGTGAGAACGATTCCTATCATCGACATTAGTACTGTTAAACAAGTCCTAAAGTGAGAATGTTTTCTGTTATCGACATCCTAGACATGGACCGTTTGTCGCTCCTGTAATATATACCAAACACATGCATAGCATTATGTTTAAGTGGCACAGTGACACTATTACCAGCTCCAGCAGGTATCTTTTATTTTGAAGACTATTTATTGAAAACAAATAGATAAAGGTAAATATTTAGTCAGATAATAGATTAATGTCCCAAGCATATCTGCCAACAACTTAAAAAAAAAGCCACCTGACAAAATCACATCTTGGCCCTAAAAACTTTAGTGAAGGTGCACCAGTTGATTTGTAATATATGGATGATAAGCCATCTTGGAAGTTGCCAGCTGCTAAAACCAAGACAGATGAGAGGGCCAGACGGAAAAGGTGCCACTATCACTCAAATAGCATAACATAGCACAAATTTCTTTTGTAGAAAACTTAACCTGGTCACACTTAATTTCAGCTTCATTTATGGTGGCTGATACTTAGTTTCCAATTATAAAAAGAATTGTTACATAACAGAACTGATTCTGCATTTTCACAGTGATCAGTGGTAATCTTGTCCTCGAATTATGCAATGTCTCGCACAACATAACCTGTGAAGAAAGGATGCTTACCACTTGCCTTGTTTTGTTTTTATTAGATACTTGCAAATGGCCAAATGCCAAGCTTCATATCGAGAGCTGGCTAGTTACTGAACCTTACTTCGAATACAATTGGTATACAAGTTACTGCTGTATCTGAGTGCTTAACTGCTTCAAGATAACGCGCACAGAAACAACAAAGCTTGAGAAATAGTTGCAATGGCATTCTAATGAAAGCAAGCCCAGGATGCACACTTATGTGAGACCATCTAACATTTGTAAAATGCAGAATGATGGAACAGATTAATTCTGTGGAGTCTGCATAACATCTGCATTCTCTACAGCACAATTTCCTCTTGCACATTTTGCAGTTGTGCAGAGTGCAAAATGAGTGCATGCCCATCATATGCAGTTACAGTTGAATCTCGATATAACGAATTTGGATTTAATAAATTATCATTTATAACAAAGTGAAGAATAGCTTTGTAATAGAGACAGCATTACGAGTAATTGTTTATCACCAGTTTCTGGGTATAATTAAGTATTGTTGGGGGAGATAGATGCAATCATACTTGTGCAAGTCGTATGTATGTGTGCCTGTATACGTATGTATGTGTGCCTGTATATATACAAGTCTAAGACTGAAAGTTTGCGGAAAAGGGGGGAGGGGATTGAGCCTTCTTCCAACCACCTGGCTACGCTAAAGCTTCTCCATTGAGTCTGCTCTAACCTAGCCAGCCAAAACGCATGCAAGGACTTCAGGCTGCACCACGGTACTAATTTCGTAGCTGTATTACCAATCTGAATGATTGCCTGCTCATCTTACGCAACTTGTGGTATTGATCACGGCTCTGTTGAACACGGCATTTAGTATCCCGCAACGCACACCTTCTCCCATCTATTTTGTTTTTTCAAGCTCAATCACATGACTTCTGCAAGGTGTAGCATATTTTTCTTAACAAGATTGCCCATGTGAAAAGAACGGGCACTGCAAACGGGGACTCAAGAAAGAAGACACCACAAATGCCGTCCCGACTTCTTTCTCGAGTCTATGTTTGCACACCGTTTCTTTAACATGAATACATACCTAGATCAACTCTCTTTTACTCTAAGACTGCCCACCTGGCATAAGGTGCCAAATGAAAGGAAAATATTTGCACAACGTGAAGTGCCAGAAATATATGCACAAATGATGCTTGACCTGTCCTTCTGTGCACTTAGGAGTGGCTGGACCATGCGGAACTGGAGGAAAGGCGCTCCGAACGACTGGCTAGTGCTCAACATGCAAAGTTCCGAAGCCGATGGTGGAAGCCGATGGAACGAAAACAATCCCAATCGTCGGACATTTACCTTATGACTACAAACGGCTTCAGTGTAACGATGTGTACAGCTGTACAGTTCATCAGTGCGATTCATATTTTGGACATCATCCATGCCATTACTGCTGCTCGGTGAAATGAGAGTTACAGTGCGTCAGACAGCCCTGGTAATGCTGCAAACTCGCAAACTTCAGTTACTGCAATTTTTTTTTTCACTTGGATTACAGTATAATCTTGATAAATGACAACCTCTGAAATAGAACAACAGCCTCAGATTTTTTTTTGTACTGGGCAGTGCAAAGAAAATCCCTTCATCTACCTGTAAATTGAATTGCTTTTAATGTTACGACCATTCAAGGAGCACAATTCGAAACCCCAATTTAAACATTTTTTTTTCAGAAAGAGCCACACTTTGAAATCCTTTCGGATTTGGTTTCCTGTGTAAAACGATAAATTTTAATGCTCCAGCTAAAAGAAAGGGAGTATATTTTTATGTGCGATATGTGCTCAGACATCTACTATTATTTGGAAATTAACTCTGTCACTTTAAGAGTTCGGCAAACAATCGTATGAGCTTGTGTGATGTACAGTGTTCCATCCGTACACATACTCGTCGGCAAGCGAAGGTCCCGGTTAAATGCAACAAGTTCTCTTGGTCTTGAGGTTCCATTTAACAAGATTATACTGTAATTTACAGAGAGTCGGTGGCATGCTCGGTTTTGCATTTGCAAGCTGCCTTAGAACGTGCTATGCAAAACAGCGAAGCATATCTGCATTGAACAAACGTTTCCTATGTGGAAGGCAAAGAACATAAGACAACACAGAAAATTTTTCAGGCAGCTGAATTGACTAGACCTTCGCTAGGTGGAAGGCAAAGAGTACAAGACGAGATAGAAAACACGCAGGTTGTTTTTACGGCAGTTATTACTGCTAATGCATTGTGAACTGTGCAAGGCTTGGAAAAGGTTTTATTCCCTTCCCCATAAACATTAATTTTGCACTGACTATAATGATGTATGCACCTTGTCCCATCTTTAATGTAGTCAGCCAGAAGAGCACTTAAAGTTAAGCTCCGACACAACGAATCAAATTTTTCACAATCTTCAGACTGCTGCAACTAGCATGTATATCGCCATCACCTATGCATTGACAAATGTCTGTGACAACTCCTGTGGAATGTCAACTTGCACAGGCTTTATTATCCAAACTTGGGTTACCAGGGTGGTTGCTAACCAACTATTACTATATGTTAGTTTTACGACTTTTTAGCATGCAGTTTGAATGCACATTGCACGGCGAGCACGAATTCAATGCAACTTTTGTGCAAGTTCAGTCTTGTGATCCTGTACATTTACGAAGTTTTCTGTGTTTTAAAGGCATTAAATTTTAAAGTACGAAAAAGAAAGGTTAATTTAGTATTTACATTTCAGTTTGCATATTTTAAGCAATTGTTTTGTCTTGACAAGCCAAAGAGAACCAGGCTGAAACATTTTTTTTTCTATTGAGCTGCTCTAGTACAGCGTTGTTTTTAATCATTTATGCGCAGCTTACCTCATGCTTCATTCATTGTCGTAACTTTGTGAATGGAGGTCACATTTCGTGCTGCACTTTTTAGTGTCACAAGAATTTAAGCCAGGTGCTCCTTAATGGCCATGTTGACTAGTATTTGTTGCAAGTTTCGGCTCTTTTATGGCAGGGTTTTTTACAAACAACCCTCAATGCACGGCTCCTTTAAAACTTGGCAGAGAAGCCCCTGACGTTATTTTTAACTTTGATCGCAGGTGCAGCTGCTTTACATCATAAATGCAAACACACCTTAGGTGCTTCAAGTAGCTTAATTGTAACACATGGGCAAAGAGCAATAGACAATATTTTACAATAAGCTAGCCAGCATATACAAGGTGCTCCTAGCTGTGACGGCAGGAGAAACAAAAAGGTGGTAAAAGCATTCACGTTAACTCCTCGCAATAATACCTAAACATTCGAATAGTGCTACAGACTTGAGTTGATGATACAAGATCACGGTTAATACTGCTTCGAAAAAAGGCAACATTAATTTGAGCCTTGTAATTGGTCAGTATAGTGCCTGGGCTCTAACACAACTTGCTCATTTACGCTGATAAAACGTGCTCACGCTTACATTCTTTTGCATAAGGTTTAAACACAGTTTATAAGCGGCTGATTAGGATTGTCTTGTATCGCCTCGCAGTATAACGTAACACACAATCAGCCAGTGGTGAGCTACACCAATTAAATTCAAGGTCAGAAGTGATACTGGTGCCGCACCGCTACATAGATCGCGATCACATCTTATCCGAATCGAATTTTTTAGCTGTGGTTGGTTCCTATACACAAGCTGCAGAAGAAAGCCAATCACAGTAGAGAATTTGGTCCCGACCAAGCTTAATCACTTATCAGCTTGGCACCACATGACACCAACATCTGACAGCGATTTAGGCATGCCAGTGCACTGTCCTGCAAGATAGCTTACACAAGATGAATGTAAATTTTGTACTGGAATCTACATTCGCAATGATGGAGTATTTGTAACAGAGATTTTTAAGTCAAGCATGACTGCGTACTGCCAGTGCCAGCAGTTAGGGAAAACTTCGAGACAGCGTTTTCAAACTGCATATGAGAAGAGACTTTCCGGCATTACATTTGATGCAAGGAAATGCATTTGTTTCTGCCCCACCCTTACTGTAGAATAATCCCGAAACACCACGCATTTTTTGTCTGTTGTCTCAGTTATTTCTGGTGGAAAACGTCAAACGTTGGTGGACCCCAAAGCGATCACATTTTCTCTACTCTCATAAAGTGAATGTGCGAAACTCTGAAGCGCTTATGATTTGGGAGCAGGCTTTTTTTTTTTGTATTTTAACCAATAACTTGTTTTATGTGCCCAGCCAAACAGTGTTTGCATAGTTTTTCAAGTGTGATAGTTCGTATGGCTTGGCAGTAGACATTTCAAATCGCATTCTCTTAACAAGATGCAGCTGATACTGTTGCGTTTCATTAGTAAGAATTTCTAGATGGGTGTGGCACACAAGTTTAACAATGCAAAACACAAAAGTTATGTCCGTGTTCAACCGCAGTTTGATAATAAATTGTAAATGGTGCACTTAAAATTGACAGCACAACACTAATAAGGAAGCAACACAGTAAACACTTTGGGGGAGTTGCAAGGTAGAGCTAGAATGGAAACAACAGAGCTTGCGTGTTGTCGGCCGCATTCATACAAAGGCTAATATTCTTTTAGCAAATGGCATTCGTCCTTGCTTAGAAACATTTTCAATGACCCGAAGCAAAAATATATATTAAACACATTATCTGGGCAGCCTGTTCTACACATTTTAATTCTGCTTGAAGAGAATGCTTATATGTAAAATAAAATATTTTTTTCACCAATGTACCTGTTTATGTGCTTTTCCAAATGAACATTTACTTTTTACTACTGAGATACTACTTTGTGCTCCTTCTTGTACTTTAGCAAAACAACTGTCTCAGCAAGTGCACCTTGCAAAGTTTCCAGAGGCCGGTAGATAAGGTTGAAAAGAGAAACGAAGCCGACTGCATAAAATGTTGCCAGAAGCACCGCTCTGCACTCACCTGTGTAACGACCCATCATAGCACTTAACAATCAGCCTCGAAAATGCATAGAGTGTACGGTGAACATTTGTGAACTGCACCCAACTTCAAATGTAGGAGTGGTAATCGTGAAGATTATTCAGACTAAACAGAAGTCTTTTGGGCATATCATTGCAAGAAATAATTTGCATTACAAACCTTCCTGCACCAGCTTAGTCATTTTGATATTCATACCAATGAAGCACATTTTAAACGAAAAAGTTTCAATAACAAAATAACACTCAAACCAATGTCCTCCGCATGATCAACAAACAAGTAACAGCAAGCTGTAACCAAAGTTCTCCAAACACTCCATTTGAACCATGTAACTGAAGCAATTATACTTATTCGATAACACCCCTTTAATGCCATAATATAGTTCTAGCTTTCAGGAACATGCGGAAAACTGTACAGCATCGAGCCTACTTCAAAAGTGAGTGATCAATGCATATTTGTATAATAGAAAAAAAAGAAAAATTCTCCACAACGATCGAATGGTGATAAACCCCATCAAAAGCAGATCTTGCATAATAGTAATTCGATCTCAAAGAAACAGACTGCAATATCAGCAACAACCATTAAATTTGGGCTCCCACTGGCGTTACTAGAGAGCCAGACTGGAGCACAAGCTGCACTGTGCTGAGCGGTCCTTAGAGGCACAGCTCATCCAAGTCGCTTTCAGTCACAACATCCTTGCCTTCAAACAGCTTGTCGACTGCTTTTGCAGCGGCCCTCTTGCTCAGCGTCTGTTCAGCAACCAACTTGTGCGACAGCAGCTTGCATATCTTCTTGAACAGATCCTTTGAAAGCCTGTTGTCTTTGTACTTTGGGTAGAGGCACCTGTTGATGTTTCGTGCAGCTTGGTTCAGCTCTTCTTTGATGTTTTGCTTCTTCGGACTAGACTCTTTCGACTTTTCCAAGCTTGCTCCCTCGCCCCTTTCACCACGTTTTTTGCCATGATGTTTTGACGACTCCTTCGCAACGTCAGAGTTCCCAGATGTATCGTGCGATTCTGAATTCTCCTGCGCAGGGTCAGAATTGGTTTTTTTGCGACGAGGAGAATCCTCTGCCTTGCCAAAGTCTAATTTCCTCTTCTTTTTTATGGGAGAGCTTTCGAAAAAATATCGGATCTTCGAAGCCGACGCCCCCTCGTACTCTTGCTTTGGGCTAGAACTCATGTATGGAGGGGTTGGTGTGCGTGAAGCAGCACCGCTGGATCCTTTGCTGACCGGAGAACTTGTTTGGGCCTGCTTGGCCAGCTTTGAAGCATGGAAACCACTGCTTTCACTGTGCAATGAATCATCCGAACATTCCATGTCCACTGATTTCAAGTTGTCAGCAGCAGCCTTCTCAACATCCTGCACCAGGGCCCTGTTAGTACTGCTGTCTTGCTTGCTTGGCTCAGGTGGTGAGGGCTTCTCAAGCTCGGCCTTTGAAAGGAAATCCAATAAGGTGTGCAACCTCTCAGGTGGCTTTGCCTTCTCTTTGGCTGCATCCTTGGGTTCTTTACACTTCAAAAGAAGGTCGTGAAGCTTGACTGCACGAGTAGCTTCCCTTAGTGCTACAAACAAGTCCACCAGCTCCTTCCTGTACAGGTGCACATTTTTCTTTGTTTTGAATATGTGGAGTTCGTGCTCGGCGGCACAGTTTCTGATCTCTCGAGGGGTCAGCTGTGGCTCGTCGTTGAAGGTTTCGTACGCAGCGAAATTCATCTCCATCTCCCCTTTCAACTTCGTTAAGTAATCTTGTCGCATCTCGACAGAAACTTCTTTAATGGCTGAGCATTTGGGCTCTAGAACAGAGCAGTTTTTGGGAATAGTTCTCTTCTTTGGCTGCTCAGACTTTGATCCACGACGCTTCTCAAATTCATCTTGAATTACTTGTGAAAGAGCAGCGGCTGCTTTGCTATTGCTTTCACCATCACTCCCGCTGTCAACATCATAATACTCGCTGTCCATTTTCTGACCATGCCTTCCACCGCCATAAAGTTCATTATCGAAACCATTGTTGCTTTCCTTCTTAATCGTTCCAGTGAGCAGAGTAGCCTGGAATGATGAAAGCCTACCTTCTAGCTGTTTTGGCTTCGTACAAGCATCACAGTTTTTTTCACAGCCTTTCAGATCATCTCCGAATTCACTGCAAAGCACTTTGTGGCGACAAGTCATCCCTTCGCAGTAGCTGGCCATCTTCTCAAATGCTTTGGTGGCCATCTCTGCGACAGTCTTGGCCCTTTTTGTTTTCGCCCCTTGTTCGTCTCTTTTCAGGAGGTAGGTTATAGATTTTCTGTCCTTCCTGGAGTAATAAATTCGGCAGTAAGACGGCCTTCCATCACGACCAGCCCTGCCAGATTCCTGGTAGTAAGCCGGAATAGACTGTGGAACTGACCAGTGCGCTACAAACCTAACCATGGCACGGTCAACACCCATTCCAAAGCTTACTGTGGCGGCAATTATGGGCACTTGCCCTTTGGTCCATTCGTCCTGGTTCTCTTTTCGTTCTGCGGCCTTCATACCTCCGTGATATGGTTTCGTGAGCAGGCCAAGGGACGTCAGCTTCATGCTGACTTCCTCACAGGCGTCCCGAGTTCTGCAGTACACTATGCCACTTCCCCTCTTTTTTGGGTCCTCTTCCTCCCAACCTTTGCCAAGCGCACGGATCGAGAAGTTCTTCAAGTTCTCAAAGGGCTCGTCAAGAGCCTCCTTGAACTCGACATCGTAGTAAAGGTTAGATCGGAAGCTAGAAGTCTTAAATATCGCCACAGGCTGCCTTAGCCTCAACTGTACCAGAATATCGTCGAATACCTTGGCAGAGGCGGTGGCAGTGAGGGCGACCATGGGAACGTCGGGAAACATGTCGCGCACTTTGCCGAGCTTGAGGTAATCCGGCCTGAAATCGTGACCCCACTCGGAGACGCAGTGCGCCTCATCGACCACAAAACGAGCCAGCTTATCGATCTTGTAAAGCGCGCTGAGGACAGCCTGAAACTTTTCGCTGGCCACTTGCTCTGGCGTCACGTACAGCAGCCGGGTCTCCGGGCTCATGCTCATCAGGTCTCGCCTAACACGCTGCCGTTCCAGAGAGCTCATGGTAGAGTTGATGGTCTCGGCACGGACGTGCAGGGACTTGAGTTTCTGCAGCTGGTCAGTCATGAGCGCGATAAGCGGTGACACCACCACGGTAACGCTGTCCTTCGGGGTCACTACGGCGGGTAGTTGAAAGCACAGCGACTTGCCAGCTCCGGTCGGCATGGACACGAAAACATCTTGGCCGCACTGCGCCACCGCTTCGATCGCCTTCTTCTGCAGGCCGCTGCGATAAGCTTTGTGTCCAAATATCCTCGTCAGAGCATCGGCCAGGGCGTGCTGCAGCTTGTCCTGGTTCACGCTCAACGCCGGCTCCATGGCTTTTCGCTCTTTCGAGTCCGACATTACTACCACGACAGAACAGCTACAGCCAGGACCGTGGCCACCTAAACTTGCGTCCTGTGCGCAAGGAAACCTGGAACGTCATCTGTCGTCTCGAATAGCTCGTGGCACTAGAAACACGGCACGCGCTACGAAAGCGCCAGCTCGACCATTGCGCTGCAGACGCGGCGCAGTGCCCTCGGCCTACGGGCCTTGCCGCAGCCGGCCGCGCCGTGTTGCAGACGAAGAAAAGCACATCCTTATATATTTGATTCTTGCATGAGGCGTCCACAGAGTTGAGGGCGTTGGATGACGCGAAGTAAGCACTTGGCAGCACAGCAGTGTCCAGTTGGCAATGGTTTCTACTCTAGCCAGCGTAGAGCCTAGCGGCGGGCGAGGAGAAGCTTGCAGCGCATTGGGTCTCTCAAACATGCGAGTTCGAATGGTTCGAATACTATTATCCGGTCCGGTGCACTACAGGCTTCTCGAGCATTGCCGACGTTGCGCGCGATGTGCCGAAGCATTGCCGAAGGATTAGAGATTAGAAGGAGCAATAGAGTGGTGATGAGGGAGCAAGGCCGCAGAGTTCAAGAACCTAGCAGGGGGCGCTGATCGACTTCCCGCAAAGGCAGGCAAAGGCGCACAAGCGTGAGCGAAAACGCTTTCACAGCTTCTCTTCCGCATAAGTGAATGTGACAGCATACGCGTTGCTTTACGGAAAAAAACAAACAAACAAAATGCCTGTTCATACGAAGGAACACATACAGGAGAAGCTGAAAAAGGAACTTGAAGCTACTTACGTGGTGAGTGATGGCTCGGCAGGGCGTCGGCTGAGCTGCACGCTGGCTTTTGCGCAACGTGATCGATGAATGAACCGCTGAGTGCAATAAATGCGGTCTATTTATGTCCTAGCTAGTCAGAATGGAATGGAAAACGTGGCTGGTGATTTCGCACACGCGCAAATTGCACTCGAGAAGCGCTTGAGCGCGTGGTATCCCTTCCGTTTGTGCGAATAAACTCAAGGCAGGAAGTAGCAACTGTCGCGAAACAACACTCTTGTAACAATGCTGAAGGATGAATGTATGCGCGGCTTTATTCAAAATAGAATAAATTACGCGTGTATCGCTGCAGGACATGCAAGACATTTCTGACGGGTGCGGCGCCAAGTTCAACGCTATCATCGTTTCTCCCAAGTTCGAGGGAAAGGCGCTGTTGGAACGACACAGGTAAGTGCCTCAAAATTTAGCCGTATTTGAAGCTTGTTTTACCGTTAAAGAAAGATAGTCATGGAGCTTCTGATATAAAATGCGTGTAATGTAGTGCTGCTGACTACTACCGAAGATATCCACAGCACTGGTAAACAGCTATCGAAACTCGCCGATATTACGTTGGAGAATATGCTTGTCGTTTAGTTTTTTGTCTGTCACGAAGGAGCATTCTGGCCTCTATTCTGTCTCATGTTTTTTTTTTTTTTTGGTAGCATGCATACCCAAAAACACAGCCGATTCCATCATTAGTGGAACAACACGGCAGAAGGCAATCACCTCTAATGAAAGTCTGTAAACAGACATGTTTGATGCTTCATGTTTCTGTGATCGCACATTATAGCAGTGGAAAAACATTCAGTGCCTTAGAATGCTATTGGATGCATATTTATGGCATCGCCTACAATCATATGTTCTTCACATGCTACGCAAATGATACGTTTGTGGTTCTTGCTCTGAAAAATGACACTAACACATACTAGTTTTGGGGATAGAGAATGTTTAGAATCAACAATGCACAAGTCTTCCTGCATTGATGCCCTTGAGGACTCAGAGGTACGACAGCCGCATTGGTGCATTCCTGCAGAAAGTGGGTGCAGCCCAGAGCACCACAATTTGAACCTATCTACTCTGGTTTGATCTTGACCACCTGGCATTCTTTAAAGTCAATCTAAATCTAACAACACGGGGCATTTTGCATCCATCAAAATGCTGCCACTGTGGCAACGTTGATGAGCAGACCTTGTGCTCAACACTGCAGTACGTTGGTCAGAGCTACCAAAAGGGGTTTGGTAGCTCTGTTGTCAAATTAACCATTTTGTCAACTCTGGTTGGCCAAGAGGGCTGCTATGACCCCTCTGATTGGCTTAAAATTCCACCATTGCGAAATTTGATCATAGAGAGCATTATAATAGGGTTTGTAGCCATTGTGTTGTTTGGGTATGTGCACTATTTTTCCTAGTATAATGTGCGTGCCCATCATGTCAGCATATAATGCATGCACAGTGGCAACGAAACCTAGCGCAAAACTCTGTGTGCCCCATTCTACAACTAACACAGGGTAATTTGACAGTATTAAGAATAGCAGCCCTTGTACAGGACCTAACAGCCGAAACTGCACAGCTGCGTCCCTATAAATGCCCTATAAATTGCCAGAAAGAAATTATGTGCCTTTGCTTCCCACTCCCCTTCTGCTTTGAGTTTATTACTCTATGATGTATGCTAGTACAAACATAATATTGCCAATTTTTTTTCCTTTCAGGATGGTCAACTCTGTCCTTGCTGTAGAGTTGAAAGACATTCATGCATTCTCAATGAAGACCATGACACCTACACAGTGGGAAGAGAAATCTAACGCAGAGAAGTCTAAAGGATAATCATTAGTAATGGTATATGTGGATTACATGAACTTTCTTTGCACAAATGTTGCATGCACTTTTGTACTGCCTAACATACAAATTCAAGCACATTTAATAAAAGAAGCAAACTCGTGACATCATGTCCAGTGTAATGATGCATGTAGTGGGTCATGCAAATCTCGGCAAACACATTGTCAGTGCTAAGCACGAGACGCTCGGCCTGGACTGTCGCTGATTTCGCTAGCTAGGCCTACGCTCCTACCTGGTCTCGGATAACAGTTTTGACTGTCTTCGTTCTTTATTATAATTGGTGGAGGTGCGGGCTCCAAGAGTACGACATCCGCGTCATGTATCGCTCAGGCCAGAAGCACGCCGATGCCGACGCTCTTTCGCGTTCGCCTGTTTCTACTGATATTGCGAGTGTCTCCATCCAAGACAACTTCCTTCCACTATCAGGACCCATCAACATGGCTGCGGAGCAGCGCAAAGATTCGTGGATTGCGTCTCGGATGGATTACCTATCTGAAACACTCGCCCACCCGCTATCTCGAGCGCTACACCGACAAGCCTCTCACTTCGCCATCCGTGATGGAATACTTTATCGCCGCAACTACCACCCTGACGGTCGCAAATGGCTATTCGTCATACCCAGGCATCTCCGCGCCAGCATATGTGCTGCTTTCCATGCCGATCCGCAGTGTGCGCACGCTGGTTTGTTTAAAACCTACGCCAGGCTACGTTTTCGGTTTTATTGGCGCGGCATGTACACATTCGTTCAAAAGTACATTCGATCTTGCACAGAGTGCCAACGCCGCAAGCACGATCCTAGCCGTCCTACTGCACCAATGCAGCCGTTACCGTGCCCAGTGCGACCATTCGACCGGGTTGGAATCGACCTTTATGGTCCTCTACCATATACATCAGCTGGGAATCGCTGGATTATTGTAGCGATCGACCATCTCACGAGATATGCAGAAAGGGCCGCTCAACCAGCCGCGACGGCACGTGACGTTGCGTCTTTCCTGCTGCAACGTTTTGTTCTGCGTCACGGCGCTCCACGTGAACTTTTGAGCGACCGAGGCCGCGTCTTTCTCGCGGATGTTATTCGAGAACTTGCAGAATGCCATGTGATTCACCGCTGTACTACCGCATATCGCCCACAAACAAATGGCTCGACCGAGCGTTTCAACCGTACTCTTGGCGACATGCTTTCTATGTATGTCGCCTCCGACCACACCAACTGGGATCTTATCCTTCCTTACGTAACGTACGCTTACAACACGGCACCTCAAGCGATGACAGGCTTTTCTCCATTCTTTTTACTTTATGGTCGAGAACCATCATCTCCAATTGACACCATTCTCCCCTACCGACCCGACTCATCCGAAGGCACACCAGTTTCCAAAGCCGCGCGGTATGCGGAAGAATGTCGGCAATTAGCTCGCACCCTTACAACACAAGAACAAGGGCTACAGAAATTTTGTCACGACGATGGACGGTCCAACTACCAATTTTCGCCCAACTCTCTTGTTTGGCTGTGGGTGCCCCCCAGTGCTGCTCCTGGTACCGCTACAAAGTTTGTCAGCAGGTACCATGGACCTTATCGCGTCATAGAACAAACTTCCGCTGTTAACTACCTCATCAAACCCCTCACGGCCACTGTGGACCTGCGTCGCCGAGGCCGCGAAGTCGTACATGTGGATCGCCTCAAACCATATCACGAACCACTTGTCCTCACGACACCATAGAACACTTACTTGGCACCATCTTCAGCGAGGGGGAAATATGTAATGATGAATGTAGTGGGTCATGCAAATCTCGGCAAACACATTCTCAGTGCTGAGCATGAGATGCTCGGCCCGGACTGTCGCTGATTTTGCTAGCTAGGCCAACGCTCCTACCTGGTCTCGGATAACAGTTTTGACTGTCTTCGTTCTTTATTATACCAGAAATGATTCTTTCTTATGTGGAAGGGACGCAGTAAAGTGTTGCTTCATATTCCCAGTAACAAAGACCAACGAGTAGACATACCTGTGAGAAGTCAAGTTCTTATGGTGAAGCTGCATCGGTGAAGTTGCCAGGCGTTTCTATGAAGAACTAAAGAAGGAGGGATATACGTTTATTGTGGAAACATAAATAAAGTGTTCTTTGTCTGAGGTCGGTGGCCTTCTCAGCATAAGAAAATTTCATAAAATTTGGTTACTAATGAAAAGAAAATTTCTGCTAAACTATAGGGTCTACAGGACTACAGGTGTCCATAAACTATAAAAAACATGCTTATTAAGGGTTAATTAAATAAACTATTTTTAATCCCATCACGACATGCATTGCAAAACAAACTACAAATTGGCTTGGCATATCTATCAGACTTACAGTGAGGTGCACAGTTGTTCCAGTTACACATCACAAGAGCGCTGTTGACATTCTTGCGGGCCAAAGTCTTAATGAAACTTTTCAAACAGTGTAGTCTATGTGTGTCTACAAGAGTTAATTTGATGATGATATGTCGGGTTTAATGTCCCAAAACCACCATATGATTATGAGAGATGCCGTAGTGGAGGGCTCCGGAAATTTCGACCACCTGGGGTTCTTTAACGTGCGCTCAAATCTGAGCACACGGGCCTACAACATTTTCGCCTCCATCGGAAATGCAGCCGCCACAGCCGGGATTTGAACCCGCGACCTGCGGGTCAGCAGCCGAGTATCTTAGCCACTAGACCACCGCGGCGGGGCATGTCTACGAGAGTGGGCGGGGCTGTATGCGCTATCCAATCATCAGTGTATACTATATCAACCATCACCCAGTGCCTGAAGTAGCATGTTAGGTAAATAGCCAGGCCAACATCTTCAGCTTTTCATTAAAACATTTTTCTCTAAACAAAACGCTAGCTTTCGCTTTGAAGTACAGAAGTAACTAGAACATCACATACTCCACAGCATACTTCAGAAACAAACATTTGAAAACTGGCATCACCATCTAAATTTGTATTACGTTGATATGCTTTGCAAACTTGTCAGATACAATATGGCAACTCATCAATAGGTCAAATCACACTGGTGGCTTAAGCTGCCAAAATAGGTTTTCTGTCGGGGGCTGCGCTCACCTAGTCTACAACCGTTCTCTGGCTACGACAGTACCACAACCCCCACGATGCATCATGTTAATTTTGGCACCACAAACTGCAATGGGACACGTGACACATTTGCTTTAAACTTGAGCACAGACCGTGTTCACCACCTCAATGCAATAGACTTGCCCAACCACCCGGCTCTGATTGTTACATTCACGAACCTTTCATCATTCTAAACTTTTTGTACAAATCAAATTATCTGTGTATCTTTTTTATTACCTAAGGGCAAGCTTTAGAATACAATAGTAACTAATTCACGTGACGTAAAACAATTATTAATGCCTACCATACCTGGGACTAAACCAATTTTTATGTTACCAGTTTTCTTTAGCACAAGAGGAAAGCTTGCGGGTCAAAGTGTTGAACCGCAGAATGGTAACATGGAAAACACAATGAACCATTCACAATCAAACTTTTTCAAGCGGAGAAATATGAAGTAATATGCACGCAAAATATGTTGCAAACATTAAGAGGTGAAGGCAAGAGCTGTTCGTGCTTGTGCACGGCGATTTGCTGCACATGAATGCACTCCGCGGCTCGACATGTTCCGCCAACTGCTGCTAAAAGGTGCTGCTTTTCCATGTGCTACTTTTTTTTGTACCTTATAAGGAGCACAGAATAGAGTGGGAACGGAAATATACATACTCTCATTTTTAGGACGAAAGATGGTGCAAATATAAACAGCATACTGTGAAGCATACTGAACTACTCCACAGTCCAGCTTCAAGGCTATTCTGCTAGGCTTTGTGAAATCCTACTCTGGGGGATCACAAAAAGGGGTGCTTGAATGTCACTATAATGCATGGTCTTTTCAGTTACTTCAGGATCTAATTACACATTCTGGCTAGTTGCTGGTCCCTTTATCAGCTCGCCTTAAATTTTTTTTGCTCCAACTCTAATGTCTACTTTTAAACATTTCAGATTAACATGCCCACAGAAATATGCAGTACAACTAACACAAAGCAAAATAGCAGCACTTCCCTTGACCCCCCCACAGTAGAGACACATATGCACAGTGCGTTACAAGATGCTAGCAACCCCGATAACACCAGTACAGTTAAAGCTGCTTAGAACGAATTCCTCCATATAACAAAGTTTTTCTATTCCACACCGTTACTCCATAGAAGCACATGTATTTCCGACCTCTAGCTAACAAAGTAACAGCAGCGAGACATCCTCGATATAACGAATTTTCACCAAGGACAATCTAGGAATTTCGCCCCGGATTTAGTCATTTTGTCACGAGCATGCATCTTCCACGGTTGCCTCACTGTCCACGCAACGACTACCAGGGGAGAGGAGCGCGGGTGTGTGCGAGGCGAGCAGGCGGTAGTGCGCCTTAAAAGCAGGCGTTCCTGCCGTGGGCGAATGTGCCCTCCCCCTCCTTCTAAACCAAACCGCCCACACACACACACACAAAAAGAAAACTACTTTTGCATTGGCAGTGCCACACCTTTAGTTATTGTCACATATGCAGTGATGGAAGTGACCTTTTACTTCTTTTTGGAGTGGCCATATGTTTTTTCGGGAGGAAGAAATGTTATTTTAGAGCAGTTATTGGTGTTTAAGGAGGGGATAAATTTTTCATACACCCATTGGAATTCAAAGCATCGTCCAAGCATCTCATAAATATTAATATTCATTATAAAATATATTTCATAGACAACAACCAATGTAAATTTCAAAAATCAAAACAAAGATGGCTTGTTATCAAAAATAAGCTGTGAAATGAGCTATAAAATTAAAATACTAGAATTTGTAGCAGAAATTAAATCATACTGGTAAAGCTGAGAACCACAGTTTAAATGTAACCACAGACCCACATAACTGTTTCCAAATAAGCAGTAGATAATCAATTTGAGATAAAAGCAATCCTCCTGATTTTCACATTTCACCTCACTAGCCTGTAAGTCCAGCTGGAAAAATAAACTGCCAAATGAGCTACATGTTTAATATGCCGGTTCTTGTCACACAAATGAGGTCAGAGCTGATAATGCGACACAC